CAAGAAGGATGTTGTATTATTAGGCAACTAAAATCGAGGGTTAGTACATAGTTTGTAAACAAATGTTTTATACAAAATATGAAGTACTTTTATTCGTTTTCTTTCGTCTTCTTCGAACCTGTAAAAGATTGAACCATTCGCGTCTTCGAGTTGCGTCCCAATGGCGACCAAGGTCAATGAACCAACGTTCAATTTTCACTTCCACTGACAGCGGTTTAATTTACAGAACTCAGAGTTCTCCAACAGAACTTCTTTCACCTGTATCGCAGAAGCGAGGGCTGTACTCGAGCCATTATGTGATCTACTAGTTGATACTGTATCATAGGCCGGTAACGCAGTTATAACCAAGGTTGATCCACTGTCTAAAACAGTTGTGTTTCTACGAACACGTTCTTTTAGAAATTGTGATGATAATTTCAAGGATTATATCAGTAGGCAATAAATTAATGTCAACGAAAACACCACTTTCGAACGCTGCGCGAAATGCTTGTTGCCTCTTTTTATCCTCTAAGCTGTGTTCCGAGGGATAAGAGTTATTGCAAAGGTAGAGCCGTCGAGTGCTTTCCTGTCACTTCTTTTGACGCACTCACAGATCTCATTCACCGTCAGTGAATATTGGTCTTACGGTGAACACTGGGATTCCGGAGGCTCCTCCCCGTTATCATTTTTTTAAACGTACCGTTTTCGAAGACTGTCATCCCACTACTCCTAAAGCTGGTGCCGCCGCCAGTAGATACAAGCCAGAATACAACGAACTGCAGCAAACTCGAAACCATTGGAAGATGAATCGGCAACTCGGGGATTGTTTAATTGCTTCGTCGATAATAATAATATATATTCCCATTTTTTACATGAGGGACGCCAGTTTACAGGCATCATCAATTCGATAAGTTACACATAAGATTATTAAGCATATTTAGTAAAGATAATATAATAAGGTACATATTTTTCCTAGCTATGTAGGATACACCAATTGTATAGTCATGCATCAATATTGTTTTAATGATAATATACTTCTCCCTGTTTATGCAGGAACATACCTAATGAACAGGCATGGATAAGTTGTTATATAAATTACACATAATTTGATGCATAACGGATTTACAGTTCGGTAGTTCTATCTGGCATTAGAGTCAGTCGGAACAGTCTGCTATAAAGTCTGTTTGTGTAGCAAATAAAGAGATATAGAAATATTGTCTTCGCATTAACAAAAACCCAGACATCACTTGAATGTAATACTGATATCTGGGAAAAATAAAGCTTGAAGTCAATTCTGTTATATAACTTTGTTGTGAACAGCACCCTTGGCTGAAAGTTTATTGATGTATTATGTTGAGATCAGTGATATATTTATTCCATTTTTTCAGCAGTCTTATCGTAGTTTCATAACAGGAAAGAAATTTGATCGTGGATGCGAAAACTGGATAAGATCATTGTCATCAAAGTCTCATAAACCGTTAATGCCCAGCTCTCGCTACGCTCGGGCCCACGCTGTTCTTAGAAGATTTCTGAGAAACGCTTAGTTATAACGAACGCGGAAACCAAAACACCGACCTGCCGTTTGATATTTTGTATTGTTACACCAACATATAAGAGGAATAAACGAACTAATCAACTAAGGTCTGTAAACAAATATTACAATAATAAATCGTTATGTTACTTCTGACGATGTTTCAATCTTCTTTCTGAACAGCGACCGATGAGACGATGACTGTCGTATTGATGCTTCCGCGAAAATCGAGGAAGTTGATTTTGAGCAAACAACCAAGAATTGATCGTTCAATCTTCAACTCCATTGACAATCATGTTGGGTTGTTTTACTGCATCAAATGGTCCCGAGGTCGTTTCCAGAATTCTCCATTTGAGCACGTCAGGATTATTACAGCACAAATAACTACAGTACCGGAAGTTACATCTTTAAAACATCACAGGTTACTGGTTCAAATGTTGCAGTCTCTTATTTCATATATAAACATTATTTTAACCTACAATGATAATCCTGATCGTATTGCTCCAGTCTTCTGCTGAGCAGCAAGCAACTAGGCAACAGTAAGGATTATATCCTCCAACAGAAACGAAACCAGCATGAATATACTAGGTCATTAGATATTCAGTCAGTATCAACAGCGTTGGAACTCCGCTGCAATACAAGCACCCCTTATTTTTCCCTGCGGGACCTACAGAAGCATATCTTCAACCCCTCTCACGTGGGCAATTCTACACTGGAAAATCGTCATATGGCTCAACCTGTAGCCTTTCTCTTAACAATCCTTCTAGCAGATTTGGCTTTTAAGTATCCCCGACCAAGATCCTACACCTTCTCCTCGTCTCGACAGTGCATAACAACCTGTTGTTACTTCAGAGTACTCTACGTGCAACATACCCGTAGTAGTTATATCTGCTAATAGGAGTGTATCGCCAACTTCCAAGTTCTAACACGATTTTTTCCGTTTTTCTTCTGCTCGCAATATTAGCCCATATTCTTTGGCCCACCGTGGGTTGAATGGCCACCCACCGTTTCTCCTCAGTAACTTTCTATAAACGCCCGAGTGTGGTCCTTAGAAATGTCCTTAAAGTTCAGAGTGATAGCCAGTAAAGATATTTCTTTTTTCCGTGAACATCCTCTTCGGTGTATATTGGCGGTTTATAAATATTAACAACTCTAGGATAAATAAATCGGTAGTTAGTGTGTGAACAATTTCAATATGCTTGGCCCTCACTTCCAAACAAGTAAACAGGCAGCCATATTCACTACGTAACCTTACACCACTTTTTAACAAGGAAGGTCCCAGTAAGTTCACCCCAACATACTCAAATGCATAATTACCTTCATATGATTTCCATATTGATATAGGTGTTACCGTCCGTAGGGTTAGACGGGTATTCTTTCATATACGCACCACACATTTATCAGTTGATTTACAAACGGTAGTACCCTTATCAGTATCCAATACTTTTGCCTAATGCTTGAAAATATTCGAAACGAACTCAGATGACTTTCAAGGTCGTAGTGGTCTTACTGTGAAAGTAAAGACTAGGAATTCTACCCCAATTCGCTGGAAATAATCTGTTCAACCGTACCGAAGAATATGAAAGGTCAGGAACATCATTCTTTGGGATTTCACTTCATTTTCCCTTGGAGTGGCTTCCAAGATCACCACCTTTGCATAAAGTGTACTGTCAGCCAACTCTCATAAACTGTCAGTGTCCAGCTCTTACTACGCTGGACCTCACGCTGTCCCTGGAAGACTTACAGAAACAATTTGTAAAAACTAACGCGAAAAAGCAGAACACAGATTGGCGACTCAAGAATCCTTTATTCTTACGCCAATATGTAACCAACAATAAGGTCATTACACTCAAGGTCTAAGAATAAATGTTATAACAATAAATCACGATAATAACTCTGATAGTTTTCTCTCTTCTACCGAACAGCGAACGATGAGACGATGACTGCCGTATTGATGACTCCCGCGAAAAATATGGAGGAGTTCGGTTTGAGCAAACAACCATGAATTGATCGTTCAATCTTCAACTACATTGACATATATCGTCGAATCTCAATGATCCCACATATATGTTATCGTATCCTGGAAGATACTTGACTTTCAAGCATATAAAATATCTGTATAGTATGCCACGGAACAACCTTCAGAATGTGGATGCCGACCTGAATATCTCTTATCTTATTTCGTCTGACTTCTCGATTTAAGGAGTGGTATTCATTATTTTGGTAAATCTGCCAGTCGTTTGGTTGAGGGTATCTTTCACAAGTCTCAAAATGTCATAACACCCTGGTTTCAAGCCTTTGTCTTCTATACGGGGGATGATATTGGCCAACTTTCTTTGAAACGAAGTGTGTAAGCTTTTCTCAGTCAATTAGAGAACGTGACTCGAATGCAAGTCATTCATAAAATTCTAGGAAGTCAAAGCGTTTATATACGTCACCAAGTTTTCTAAAAACGCGGTGAGGTCTTTGGGATCACCACTTAGCTGCCGTCAATTACCTTTGAATATATCAAGAACACCCCCAGAAATCATAAATGGTTTTCCAAACCTGTAGCTCGGTGTACGGTTTACTTCAGCGAACCGTTCATTTGGAGGCAAGAATTACCATAAAAAGTTAGCTGGATCACCGTCAAAGCACCGTGGCTTAAACTTTGCAGACTAAAAAGGTTCGCTCTCCTTAGTTATTGGCAATTACACCCAGTTTCCAGCTGAGAGTCAGAAATTAAAAACCACAGAAGAGATCAAAAGTCATCAATTGTCCAAGTCAGAAAACTAGTCTTTAACTCAGATTAATGTGCACCGTGACCAATTCAAAAATATGAGTCAACTGAATAGCGATTATAGGAGTGTTTATTTCTTCACTTACAACGGAAAAGTTCTACAAATTTACTACAGCAAACTTCATGAATAAATATAAGCATAAAGCACAATAATATTTCTGATCGGCTTTCTCCAGACTTCCGTCAAGCAGATCCCAACCTGGTCATTACCACCATTAAAATGAGGAAAACCATATGTTCCCCATTAGAAGCCCACAAATATTGAAAACATGAGTGAAACATGTGTTTAGTGAAAAATGTCAGCGTTAGTAGGACGAATTACAGAATGCGTGTTGCCTTCCTGAATAACTTGCCTGACAGAGTTACAAGGACAGATCATATTTAATTACAAGACCGGTTGATCAGGCACATCCAGGCGAACAAGTTCAGCAAGCAGGAGGGTCAGCATCTTATGTTGAATGTTGATGGAATTAATAGTTAATAATTTATTTTACTTTATTCCAAAAACAGCACCTATGATACAGAATGGAATTCTCTGAACTCGATGAAGTTTTCGAAACTGTCAACCACTATAACTCACTGTTTAGATACTCTAAATATGTTGTTGAGCTCCTTTTTAGTTTGTAAGTAACAACAACAGACAGATGTACATTGAACACTGAATCACTGTGTTTTGTTTATCCGAGTGTAGGTTTTAGCGTCAAGCGCGTGATGTCGAGTCCGGAAAACGTATTGTTGCCTGATGGGCGACGGATTGGGGATCTGAAGGTGGCTGACCTTCGAACTCAGTTAGAAATAAGAGGACTGAGTAGATCAGGTGTAAAGAAGGATTTGTGCGCACGCCTCTCAGATGCTGTTGATACCGAACTGCAACAGACCAAGATGGTAATTTTTTTCGCTAATTGTTATGTATCCTGTATCTGATAACACAAAATGTGTCTAAAACCCATTCACTAATTGTTACGTTAACTAAGAAACTTACTGCTTACCCATACCTTGAGTCAAATAACTCAACGATAAACGTTATATTTGGGTCTAACAAAACACTTTGAAATGTTGATTCACTGTAGATCTACTTTCCAGGATTCAAGGTTAAATTGTCCTTAAGTAGTTGTCTATATTGGTGTGGTAGAGGTGACAGTAGTTGCTTTCAGTGTAGACGTTAGTGGTTCGCTATCCACAGTGTATCATCTACCGGGTTGGTTAGATTCTTATTCACTTAAAACCACTGCTAAATAGGCAGATGGACGACTGTGGATTCGTCGTGATATCTCTTTAGTACTAGTATGATTGAAAACTTTACCGAAATGAATGTCAGTAGCGTTACCTAAATCCAGCATCTGAAGCTGACTTACCAATCATAAGGTATGAAGATACAAAGGGGTTGGTAGACATGCAGGTCTATGTTCTCGCCAGTTGCATCCGCTTGTGAGTATGGCATTGCATGTTGACTTATGTGCGTTACCGTTTACCTTGCTTTTGGAGTTGTAAAGACAAGGACACAGGTCTGTGAAGATTTAAATGCTAAATATCACATGGAAGTGAGATTATTTTTGCCTACTTGTGAAGTGTTTAAGAGAAATAGTGGAAATTCGTGTTCTATTGGATTGTGTACTATCAGTTTCTAGTGGTCGCAAGAGTTCTGACTTTGTTAAGTTTCCACATAGTGGTTGTCGTGGTATTTGTCCCCATGTCTTATGTTTTAATTATGGTTGAGGGTTAAGTAGATTAAAATAGATTGGTTGTAGTTGTTTGTGTCTCCTTTACATCTCCTTTATACGGCATATGAGTATAATGTAATGCAAAAGCGAGTTTACTAACGACATATTTGATTAATATAGTCAATATTTCTATTGGTTTCAGGAGGCTACAGCAGCCCCACAACCTGTAGCGTCAAATGGTTCTTCAGAAACTAACACACAAAATGAGGATGCTCTAGAAATTGATGCTGTTGCCTCAGATGAAGAAATCACTGAGTTGTCTGCACCTAACGAAATAAGCATAACCGTGGAGTAAGTTCCGAAATTTATAGTGACAATACATCTTAATAAATTCTTGTTATTGTTACATTTTGGATTAATGTAATATTTTGTAAAGTCTCTTAAGTTTTCATTAATGGTCGAAATAGATACAGTGAAATTATATTCTTACCGCGACAGTTTGTGAAAATACACTGACACAAATCTGTAACGACTAGTAAGGGTTGGAAGTTATTAACTCTGTCTGTGAAAAACAGATTATTCTTTTTCTCGGCAATATTTTTGATATAACATTTATGAAGATCGCTTCATTAAAGTACTCCTGGTGCTGCCTAATCTCTTAATTTAATGCACCTACTCCTAACTTCAGCTGTTTCTATATTGTTGTTATCCTTCGTGACCGCGTGCTTGCCAAAAATAGTTATAGTTTACTACTAAGAGTAGCAAAAACCCATAATGCTAAAACTCATAATTTGATCTTTTGCATTTTCTAAGTTCGTTTCAAAATCAACAGCTTGAACCAGTGTTATCCTATGATGGTGCCGGTCTGTCTGTTCAAGAATCCGCTGTATTTTCGAATGTATTTATAGAAGAGGTTCTGTAAAGATTTTCCTAATAGGTTTAAAGTCTCTTGCATATGCAATGTCAACTTCATCATCATTATTTTATTTTGCATATACTGATGAGTGTTTTTTTTGGATTTTCTGTTTTTTCGCTTTCAGGCATGACATTTCTGTAAGTTTCCCACTAATTTAGTCGTATATGACTTTTGTTAATTGAAAATTAGGTATCTTGAATAGGAAATCTTAGTTAGTATGTGGTGTTCATTATATATATGTAGCGTTAAGGATTTGTAGGTGTATATCAGTATATAATATTCGTTTATTTTTACAACCTTTGCGTTTGTTTTTTAAGTGTGGTCACTTGTTTTTTTTATCAAATTCCCTCCTTCTTTATTCTTCGTCACCGGTGTTTGTTTTCCCTCATAATTTTTTGTACTTGCCTAAATTTCACTCCTTGTTCCTGTTTATACTCGCCAGTCTAATACGTGTTGGTCGCATTCCACTACTACCACTACTACTACGCTTAAAGATGTCTTTCGTCTTGTCATCCGACAATTGGAACGAATAAAAATTCAGTTTATAAGTTACATGGCATATACGATGACTGTCAAATTCCAAGTGTAATAAACTCTTGCTTTCTCTCTTTTAACGTGTTCGCCGTACTGCTTTGTACGTATTTTGCATACTTGAGAAAATCTACTATGATTAGACAACAAATCTGATCACTGTTGAAACAAATTGTATATCTAGCCGTTATAAAGACTCTTTGTTATCTTACAATGCAATTTTACTAAATTCGCATGTAAACTTATACTCAATTTTTGTTGTTGTTGTTGTTATTTCTGTGTACCGCAAGTGTGCCAATTGTTTATTTTCTTTGACTATTTTCTACCACTCTTGTCAGCTGGCGTTGGAAGTGTTTCATTCTTCATTTCTGTCGTCGTAGATTTTTCTTTCTACTCAAGTCATCTACTTATTGTACCGTTACACACCGCAATGGATCGTCAATTCTATTGATTACCTTTAAGCTTATGGATATCTTTTCTTTTTGTGCGTGTGTGTGTGTTTCTTAACTTTTGTCTTTTTCACTTCAGATTGTACTATTCTTCTTTTCGTTTTTTCTTTTTTCTACGAAAAATCTCACTTAGTCGTTTTAAACGGTATCATTTTGAGCTACTGTCTGACAGTATAAAGAGGAGTTTTGGTGTTAGTACACATTTTGACGTCAGTATTTCAACTGAATTTTATACTGTTTTAAATGACTGTAATGTACTTTCGTTCTTTTTTTGTTGATAAAAAACGACTGTCTTCACCCTACGTAAATTACATGTGACAGTATCTTTGGAGGACTATTATGACAATCATAATAATAACCGTTTACTTTCCCCTTTCCCATTTCATTTCTCAAAAATTTCTTCTGTTCTAACGCGCATGTAAACCTTTGAAAAACAAACAAACAACGCATTACGCGTAGTGTATCTAACCATTTCGATGGGGAGCATCATCCTTGTTTTTCTTTTCTCAATGGATGCTGCTGTCTTTTTGTTGTTGTTGTTCTTGTTTACGTGGGATGACGGTTCATTTTTACTCATCAATGTCAAAAAAAACAACAACATATACGACAATAATGCATCTTGACTATGTGTCTCCTGTTGTGGTTACATCAGTGGTGTCATAAATAATGAATATGAACACAACAACACAGAAATGGAAGACGGAAGAGGTGATGATGAAGAGGTCGTCCCCGCCCTTTGGTGGTAAATTTGGGTATCTCTTGTAACGCGCGCGAGAGCGAGAGAGAGAGACAGGGAATAAAAAGAGAAATTCAGGTTAATTTTTATTGTTTGCGTTTTTTTCCTCTTGTATTTTGCATTGGGTATTTTTGCAAGCATTAACTGGTGTTTAAAACTGTGTGTGTTTGTTAGCGTTTGTTGTTTGTATGTGGTTTATGTCGGCATTCCTATTGTATGGATTAGTTGATGCCTTAGGAAACGGCAAAACATACTGAGTAATAGTAGTAATATAGCAGCAGATGAATAGCGGATTTTGCTGTTGTTGTTGTCGCTGTTGTTAAATTAAGCCGTAACTGGTTTTTTATACTGTGGACTGAATTGAATTGACGATGAGATAGAGACGATTGTTGGGTCTGTCTGTCTGTTCCGCTGGCGTATTTGTGTTGGCTTCCCTCAATCGTATTACATGCTTTATTTGTAAACAATAATACTAATAGCAGTATTAATTGTCTTTCATAAGTAATTCTCTTCCTTTTTTCCCTCTACTGCATCCTGGTACTGCTTTCAATTTTAGAAAAGTGAGGAAAGTGTGTGTAAGTCCACGCCTACGCCTGCCTCTGCTTCTCCTTCCCCTTCTCCTTCTCCTTCTTCTGAGTGCACAACACGTAAGCGTAACTTTAATTCTGTTGTTATCATTGTTGTGAGTGTGTGTTTAAACTACTACTACATCTAAACATTTGCACTGCAGAGATGCTTACTTTTTGGGTTACACTAACATCTATAATATGTTGTTTGCAGTTACTAGTTGTTTCGCCGTCATCTTTATCTGAAAATAACATTTTACCGAACAGTTAACGTATTAATAATTAATATTGCTTATTTATAAATGTAAACTTGGGCACAGTATGGTCCTACGGATGGCCAAACCGAAGGAGTTGGTTGTCTTAAGGCACTGTAACAGCTTTCATACCCCCTCCATTCGATCCGGTTGATGCGGTCGGTAGATCAGCATACCCACCACCAGTCTGGTTGTAGGCGCGCGATGTTTATTGTATTCGCACTTTCACTCTCTTGTGAGGAACCACAGGTTATGAATGCGTGGTCACATGGGGGAGCATTTCGAGAGGAAGGTCATCATCGTCTACATCCTCCCTCCCTCCGGGACCATTGGTCTTATCAGGTCGTTTACGGATACGGGTAACAGGCAAACATAGTTAAAGGAAAATTATCCTGTTTTAGAGATCAACCTTATGGGTTGTTGTATCTTTCATCATCTAATCTAAAAATCTACATGCTAATCTGTAGTTAACTTCAGATTGACTAGTATCATATTTATGTGGTTTATCATTTTTACTGGATTGTATAACTGCAAATCCCCATTTTAAAACTTTCAGTATATCCATTCTAGTGCTGGCATTTAATGCGCACCATATATAAGTTGGGATCGAGAAATACCATTTGTTGACTTAGAATATGCGGATGGTATTCCTTACTGCTGGGTGAAGATGCTGACAAAATTTTGAGTCTTCTGAGAACACACCCTGCATAGCAATCATCGAATGTTTTGCATAGGATTGTCTCCTGTCAAATGTGAGATGATGCTACAGGACTGGACTGGACTAGATTGACTCCCTAGCTTAAAGATAGGGAGTGATGTGGTGACTTAACTTATTTGGAAAGGGGGGGGGAGTTGCATCAACCAATTCCAGTTGATTGTGGGGGGGGGTTGATTGCTGACAAAGTCTTAGCATGGATAAAAGGAGGGGTCGTTGTGTAGCATTTGTCAACTTAGTTCATCTCTGGCTTGGTAGACGTAACATCTGGGTGGTTATAGATAAAAGTGCGTGTGTACTGCACAGCAACAGTTCTCTCTGTCCTCCTTTATAACTGTGAGACATGATCATTAAAAGTGGAAAGTATGAAAAGGCTAGCTAGTCATCTTTGATCATAGGTGTATGCGTTCTATCTCCCGTGTGAAGTGGTGATATAATAGGGTGAGAAATATTGAGGTTAGGCGTCTAGTGGTAAATAAGGAGGGGAAACCAATCAATTAGGTTGTGAAAGTGAATTGATTCAGATGACTAGAGCACGTGTTACGTATGCATCCTTAACCATCGCCTTCTTCGACAGTGAGCAATGTTAGCTGACATAAGATGAATCTGGCTTGAAAAGAGCTAGCGGCGGTCAAACCAAAAACATAGCCTCATCAGTCAACGAAATCCATAACGGTTAGTTTAAGCCAACCACTTAGTCACGTAGGGTGGTGTAGACTTCGTGCCTGGTTAGGGTCTTCGGGATAGTAAGAACCAATGAATACTGGAGACAATTCGTGATATGGTTGGCTCAAAATCGTTTTCAGTGGCTGCGGCGGATGCATTCACTCTTTGTTTTTATCATATCCCCCAATAAAACTGTTGTTCTTCCATAATTACTATTTTTTTTATCCTAACTCAAGCTTGTGTTTATTATCTGTCTTTTGAACTTCTCTTTACTCTGTTCTCTTGTTTTGTGTGGTACATGGAATGAAGGAGGGAGGCAACTCGAACTGCTGCACATCGGTACAAAGTTCCATGTCGAGGGTGTTGTGATAACCAACGGATGACCAAACAGAAGCAGATGTTTTTCTTAAGGAGGTTGTTGTGAACTTTTCTTATAATACGTATCTAGTCATATTCATATCTCCACCGCTATTGACACTCTTTTTTCCCTTTATATGTTTAAGCCATTCCGGCTTCATTGTAAAATGAATAAAGCCTAAATTCTTGGTTCATTCGTCTTTTCAAGATTCAAGCATCACTCATCGTTCTAAGACTCAATCACCTTCGTAACAGAGGTCACTCTCCAAGTCTTTGACTTTAAGTCTAATCTAGAAGGCAAGGAAGTATACGAAGAACTAAGTTCCCATAATTGCCGGTGACCAAAAGCCAGATTTAATGCGTCAGTCGATCCGGTCAGATTCTGAAAACCAATTTACAACACCCTAGTTTTGGAATCAGGTTTTCCCAACTCTTCCATGTAGATTCACATGTTTCACCAGTGCGGCGGGTGTGGTTTGATCTCACCCTTTCACTTTTTTGAAAAACATTCCCACCACATGAATTCAGGGAATAAAACTTATCTGCTTAAGGTTATGTGTATGCGTGGCTGCATTCACTCCTTGTATATCGCCATATATTGAGAAGAAAGCAAGTTTGGCCTTAAGTTTGTGATGTGTCGTATTTTGTCTTCGCTGTCGTGTCTGTCACTTGTTCCTTCTATCCTCAGAATTTCACTGAGTTTTTTTTAAATGGTCACTCGTCCATCACAAACTAGAGATGTTCCAAACACGTGTTTGTGTGTGTATGGGTGTCAGAAAACTTCCCATACAAAGCCCTTTACATTCTTATTTATTCTAATACTTTTTTGTTGTTGTCCAAATCCACACTAAATGAAATACTTTTCCCTTCAGAGAATAGTGAAATGACGACACCAGCAGCTGCAGTTCTAGCAGTAGCTCCGAATGTGGACGATGCACCTGAAAATGTCGGGACTACTGTGGATCAACCTATTTCTACTGCTGTAAAGGATAGTAAACCAGAGATAGAAATTCAACCACAACGTAGAAGACAATGGGGATCACGTTCGATCCCCAGCACTCCATCATTATCTTCAGAGTCTTTAGAGGTGAGTCGGAAGTTGTTAACATATGTATGTAAATAATATGTCGAACACTTTATAGCATCACCGAATGAAATAGCTTATTGGTATATTTAATTTGCTATGCTGCAACACACAAGTAATATGATTGTGCAATAAGTTGTGTGTATCACTGGGCCTTTATCGAATAACTTGTTCTGTTTCGTAGTTATACTGAATCATCATGATACTCAACTTGTTATATTCTTACGTCATCTCGTAGTGTGCACACTTCTGTTTTTATGTAAGGAAAACACACATGACTTATTGATTTAAGTAAGCACTTATCTGTCAACATATGAGCTGCTATTTCGAATCCTTCAAACCAGTTTGTTTGCATCAATTTGGTCATTCAAAGTGAATTGACAATCTTCACACACACACACACACACTAAAGGGGGTTGCATAGTACTGGTGAGTTATGCTACTCATATGTGTCTTTCTTCGATCAGAGATATGCAGCAATGAAAATTGAAGCACTTTCTAACAGACAATGCACTGAAATGACGAAGATCGATAAGCTTCACTGCGACAAAAAGAATGAAAAATTGGATATCACAATTTTTCGTATTTGTATTTTGAATAGCGTTCATGTAGGCGATCCATATACTATAGGTGACTTTTTTGGTGACTTGTTTAACTTCATGACCCATGTCAAGGAGATGTCTGGCAACGGCACTATTGAAAACATTTGTTCCTCTCTAGACATAGGCTTTTCAGTTATGTCTCAATGTGACTGCACCCTCAGATACGTGTGTACATTTGTATACACAGTTGTAGTTAAAATGAGAAAGGGTATCTGTTAACTTTTGACTGCACCAAAGTGCATCTTGTCCGATAGACACGAACCAACTTAGCTTCAGGATAAGCTTTGGCTAGTGATTTACTTAGTCTTCTGTCGACTATTGCTGCAATGTTTTTCACCTTTAAAATCAAATTAAATGAAGATAGACTTTTTTTCCCCAGTTGTGATCTGTTTGATGTTTGAACCTTTACATCTTGCATATTTGTTAAGGAATCTCTGACGACAACTGTGGCTTTTCAACATCTTTTCAAGAAACAAATTCTTCTAATTTGTTTGTAAAGCGTATTATTCTGACAGAGTCTTAACTAGTGCTCGAATATAGCTATTAGGACAAAAACTATTAAAATGTAGGTATTTTCCATTCCATGTAGGGTTTCGATAAATTGACCTCTGGAGACTACCATCTTCCAGGCGTTGCATGGCAATGTCATGGAAATGAAATTTTCCTTGTTCCCTAGTAAATTCAATATTTGTATGTGCGTCGTTGAATAATCTGAGCAGGTAGGAAGCATAACTTTGGTTGTTGCATACTACAAATGTGTCATCTATATATCGGAAATAGGAAGTTGTGTCGTTGATGGGATACTTCAACTTTGTTCTTTCAAGATTGGACATGAAGATATCTGCTAAGAAACAAAGCTAACTGGACTACCCATAGCTACATCATCTATTTGGCAGTAAAGAAAATTATCAGACTGGAATTGCGCCCCCATGGTGTACACATCAGCAGCAGGCGTTTGAATCCCGACTCTGGGAGTGGGTGAAGATCAAAATGTTGACAGATGATGTTGATAGTTTCATTGGTCGGGATCCTAATGAACAAGGAGGTTACATGAAATGATACCGGGAGATTATTTGTTGGATTTGTTAAGCCTATGAAATTATAAAAAACAGGTTGTGTTTACCTAGTGAATGAAATCGCTTATCACATTTGTGTTGATTTTATCACTTCATTTAGTCCATCATTTCTATTCAGACATTTGGATTCCATTTAATATTGCAAAGTGCTTCTGGTGATGATATTAGGAAGTTCTTTGTGATATCTGAAATTTTTCTGGATTACTTCAATATTGTCACAATTCTGTGATCTGACTCTATAGTGTGTAGACCTATAGCTGATGATTTTTAAAAAAAGCCTTTCTAGTTCACCAACTGGATTTCTCGTTGGCCGAATAGAGGAGGCAAATCTGCAGTGTTGATTTCTTTATCTGGCGATATTTGTCCGATGTATGTCGTGCATCACACATTCCGAGCATTTTAGTGTTTCATAGATCCAATTAAATTGAGAACCCTTTGGAATTCGCCCTTTTTCTGCATGGTGGACAAGGTTGCTCTGCAGAGTGCTTGTGTCTTCTGTTCAAAGTGAACTTGGTTTGTATAGGTAGATTATATGATAACAATGAGTCGACGTTGAGATATTATGTAAAATGTCTATGGTGTGATCTATTTTTAGTAGGGTAGCACTAAAGTATTTCCCTGTAATTGTGATACAATTGGTTACTCTATTATCTGCCTGTTTTCGACATAGAACTTTGCACCTATGTGCGGCAGTGTAAGTCGTCACACACAAAGCAAGAGAAGGAAGTAGAAGAAATGCCTAATAGAGACAGTAAGCAGAGGTGTGAGACGAAGGAATAGTAATAACGAAGAACAATATAATTTCACAGGAAATCATAAGTCACAAGGAGTCGATGCATCTGCGCCACTGAGAACGATTTTGAGCCATATCACCAATTGTTTCCAACCATTGGTTTTTATCGTCCCGAGGACCCCAACCAGTCAGTCAGAAAGTCTATACCTTCCTACGTGGCTGACTGGCTTAAACTAACTGTTGTGGATTTGATTGACTGGTGCCATGTTTTGGTTTGACCGCCACTAGCTCTTTTCCAGCCTGGCCCCATGTCAACTAACATTGCCCATTGTCGCGGAAGGCGATGACTAGGCATACGTAACACATGTCCTAACCATCTCAGTCGATGTAATTTCACAACCTCGTCGACTGATTCCCTATCCTTACCTAGCACTTGACGCCTGACTTTATTATTGCTCACACGGGAGATAGGGCGCAGGCACCTATAAGACAGTTAACCTTTTCATGTCTTCCACTCTCAATGGCCAGGTCTCACAGCCATAAAGAAGGACGGAGCGAACTGCTGATGTGCAGTACACCCGCCCTTTGGTCGATAGCCAGCTGGATATCACGTCTACTAAGCCAGAGACGGCATAAACTGGCATATGCGAAACGAGCCCTCTGTATCCGTGCTGAGATTTCGTCAGAGATCAACCCGCTGGGACTGGCTGATGCAACTTCCCAAATAAGTGAAGCGGTCAACACGCTCAGTCACCACTTCACTCCCTATTTCTAAACTAGGAGTCAGTGTAGTCCAGTCCTGTAACATCATCTTACATATGGCGGGAGCGATAATAATTATGATAATTTATTATAATAATTATAATTTTATCGTTCTAGTGTTCTATCATTTAAACATTTATTGTTGTTGTAATTTCTTGCTCTCCTCCCCATCCCGACTCCTGGTGCCGCTTATCTACAGAAACTAATCCCACCCTCTGCATGTCCTGGTGGTGTTGGTTGGGTAAGAAGTAAAAGTTTAATTGTGACTAATAATGAGAATGAAACTGACGTGTCAAGCGATTCAACAGCTTTACAAGATATGTTGAAACCTTCTTTAGACATTCACAATGAAAACTCTACTACCACGACTACTACTATTGATATTAATATTGAAGAAGCTGGAAATGATAAACTCTATCATACAATTGATGACGACAAGGTGAATATTTGTGATGATAATGATCAAGATAAGGATAAGGATAATTTGTCTTCAATTAATCATAATGAAATGAACAAAATGCCAACAGCTACAACACCACCACCACCAACAACTACTACTTCTACATCTACTGATATAAACAAAACTTCTGTACAACTTGAACGTGAAGTTGAATTAGAAGTTGATGCTGTTGTAGAAAGTATGGATACTGATGATGCTTTAAATGATTCACGTACAGTTCATTTATCAACAGATATTAGCCCTAAATTAGATGTAATAATAAAACGTACAAGTGGGGGTAGTGGCGCCAGTGCCGGTGGTGTTAGTTCTATGGGGAAACAATCATCTACAGATCGAAAAGTAATAACAGCAAAAACAACAACAACAACTACTACCACTAGTACAGCTGCTGCACCACTAACTTCATCATCATCTCGTGTCGGTCAGTCGTCGACGTTGACGTCATCATCATCATCCACAGTGAAAAAGACTTCTTCATCACCAAGTAAACGTAAAGGTCCAAAAGGTAATGACTACTTTTATTATTATTATTCCATGAGATTTCGTCTGTGCGTCGGTGGCACAGTGGTTAAGACTCTCTGAGACCATGCACATGGTCCGAGGTTCGATCCCCTGCCGACGCACACCTGATATCTATGGTCGGCCTGATAGCGTTATTAGAAGACGGAGATTATCTGAAAAATGTGATGTATTTGCGGTATACATTTCGAACAATCTGATCCCTTACACAAGACGATATATATGAAAAAGTTGAATTAAACAAAGTGACGAAAACAATTAAGAATAATTAACACAGCGTTTGATAATCCAATCAAATAAGGATTACCAAGGCAGGTGGGTTAAGAGTAATAATGAACTGTTTTTGAATACACAGGGGGTGGGGCTTAAGTTTATGAATAGCTATAGCCTCGGCGTATTTCAGTGAACGCCCTTGACCGTTTTTATGTTTTTTTTGTTTTTTTTCCTTTACGTTACCCAGTGAAACATAGGGCTTCAAGCTAGTGGCTTGAAGATTCTGTAGCAGTGTTTATTTTACAGGATCGAGTTTGCTAGCCTCGTGCCCAACCCTTCCTCTCCACCAGCATTATTTCTGGCTTATCGAGGTAAAGGAGTGCGTCGGCCGCAGGTCGAACCCCGGACCATGTGCATAGTCGGCGAGCATCCTAACTGCTATACCACCGACCGTTTTTATAGATGACCTTAAAGGCTGAGCTGACGTCGATCTTATGGTTCATCTCGATTAGATGTTTAGCTATAGATGAAGTTGGTAGTCTGACACCTGCATCTATTGGCTTGTCACAATTCATCTGTTTTTCTAACCATTTTGGGATGTGCTCTCCTCAGGATGGTCGGGGGTGGGTGCCTTGCGCTGCGGGTTGGCCACCCCTCCGCACACCTCTTGAAATGCTCCCATATGACCGGGCGTCTTACATAGCCTCTCCTGAGGAAGTCCTACTCACTGCCTTCACGTGGCGGAGGTGTTTCTCACCAAAGTGAGAGGGCGAAAGCGGATGCCCGGCGCTCTCCACCGGGTTGACTGCCCATTGGATGACGGTCTAGGGGAGATGGCTAAACCCTGATTCCAAACCTCCAACGACTGGCGTATGAAGCTCACTGGAGTTCACCGGCAGACGTTTGGACAAAGGGCTTGTTGGATGTCCTGGATGTGTGGCCCCATTCAAAAAGGCGTATGAACCGAACTCCGGTCACCGGCTGCCAATGGATAGTGGACTCCTTACTCCACTCCTACTGCCTTGTAGGTCACACTTGGCTGTGTAAAGGCTAGAGCTGCACTCTCAAACAAAAGGCCGAGCGATGCTGGGGACATCACTCGTACCAAATTCCCATGAAACTTCATGAACTCTCTTACAAATTGCCGCGCCTGAGCAGCGATGATTCGAGACGTTCATGAAGCCGGCTGATCCTCCCGTAGGAGATAGCCGAAGTAAAGTAAGTAAAGTAAGTGCTCTCCCACCCTCACATACGAAGCTCGATTACGCCTTCCTATGTATGTGCGTCCACACACACACACACACACACGAGAATTGGTAAATTGTGTGGGATATGAAATAATCACTTGTGCACTTTTGAGGTTTGCAGTGGAGTATATTTTCAGCTTTCTCGATAATTACAAGCTGGGTTACATAATAGGTTCTACGGATGATTGAATTCAACCTCTGTCTCAAAATCCTACTGTTTATTCCCCGGATATATGGTATTTTGAAGAAAACAATTTTCTTAGGGGCAGTATGGATTGTAGGTTTAGAGACTAGTTGACTTCTACACCTGTTTAAAATTTTTAAAGGATATCCGTTTTCAACAAGAGTATTCATCAATATTTTGTTTTCTTTGTCTATAACATCAGCCGTGTAAATACGCTGAATCCTCTTAAATACTGTAATGGACAGAAGCTGAAAATTAAGATATTGCCATGTCCAAGTGGGCTTTCTGTAGACAGACCGTCTTGTTGAGCCATCATCTCTTCCACTCAGAAATATGTCTAAAAATGCTAGCTGGTTGCGACTTTCTTCCTCACATGTAAGACTAATATGATTCCGTACACAGTTAAGTCTGTCTAATAGACGACTGGCATCTTCATGATTGTCGCATATCAAAGTGATATCATCTACATATCTCCTATAGAAGGGCAATTTTGAAATTAAACCAAGGGATAAGTTTTCAACATAAGACATGTAAACGTCCGCTAACAAAGGTCCTAATGAACTCCCCACAGCAACGCCATCCACTTGTCGAAAATGTTTATCTTCAAACGTGAAACGGACGTTGTCAGTACATAATAGTGATAAATCTTTCAAATAAGTTGAAGGGGGAAGGGAATGAAAAACAACTAGGAGATATATAGTCACAAAGAATATCAACAGTCTTAAATTGAACTAGTAAATATGTGAGGGGTCAGATTGTTCGAAATGTCTAGCGCAAATACATCACATACCTTTTCAGATAATCTCCGTCTTTTAATAACGCTATCAAAATTTATAAAAGGGGCTAATTGTTTTAAATTTATATTATTCGATGATTATTGTCTGTGAGTAGAATTCAATCCTATTTTGCTTGAGTTTTGTATTTCCTTTGTCAATGTAATATATATATATATATATATATATATATATAGGACTCTCGCCGACCATGCACATGGTCCGAGGTTCGATCCCGTACCGACGCCCACCTGATATCTATGGTCGGCCTGCAAAATTTGGGCTACCGATAACACATGCTGAAAATTCCATACTTGTACCGAAAATACAGTGTGGAATCAAGCTGTAATCAAAAAATTTGATAGTGATTTGTGCTTGTTGTTGTTGTCGTTGTCTATGTGGTTGGTTGTTTCGTTGGTTGGTTATCTACATCACCTTCGTTTTCTCTCTATATTCGCAAGAAGTCCTGTCGTCGTTGTTGTCTGCTTCCACTGCCACGTCTTTGGTTTTCGCCTGCAACTCTTCCTATTTGGTGTGGCTTTAGACGACATCCGCGAAATTCAGATTTTTTAGAGTCTTCTTGTTGGTCCAAAGTATTTCTGTCTTCTACACGTACAGTGTTCCACATAATACAGTTCACCACAATTGCCATGTAGCTATTGAATGAAGATGATGAAAGTTTGTGGCATTGTGTAGTGTTGAAGTAGTTTCCAATTTACTTCACGGTCAGTGCAATCGAAGGACTTTTCACAGTCGATGAAGTTTGATGTATAGGTTTGACTGTCATTCCATGCTCTGTTCGTTGATGATACGTAGCGTTGCAACTTGACCATCACATGATATGCTTTTGCTGAATCCAGCTTGTTCCGGTCGCAGTTCTGCATCCAATGCACCCTTTATTCTCTCCAGTTTGACGTGACTTGGTATTTTACTCGGCGTGGACAAGAGTTCTTTTAGAGGCTTAAGTCTCCATTCTTTGGTAGTGTGACAAGCTAGGTTTTTTTCCAATCAGTAGGTACCTTTCCTTCCTTCCAAGATCTCTGCACTAGTGTTGTGAGAAAATCTGCTATCTCTAGGTCACTTTTCAGTACTTCAGGAGAAATTCCGTCTGGTCCTGCTTCTTTCCCAGACTTCACTAGCTTAATCTCATTGAAGATTTCTACTTTCGTTGGAGGACTGGTGTCCGCCATCACGCAGTTCTTTGAGTACTGCTATTGGTTTGATTTCTGGACGAGTTGCATGTGATAGTCAACACAAGAGTCCTTTATTTCTCCTCTTTGGTAATCGGGTTCCCTTGTCTGTCTTCTATAGGTTTCAACTGCATTGTTCTCTTCGCGGATAGCGATCGACCTAGTTTTCTGATATAATGTTCCAAGGTCTCTTTTACCTCCGGCTTGCCTCCTCTGCTTCAGTTTCCACTATGTCGTAGAATTATGGGAAGTATTTCCTCCGATAAAATCAAAGGAGAAGAAATAATGGAACTACTGAATCAACGAAGTTTGAAAGTGGATATATGATGATTGCGAGCAATAATCAACGAATTGTGCTCGAAACATTGTCATAACAGTACGTGACAGAAACTGTACACTGTATCATTGTGTACTTTTATCGGATCAATTTTCTCCATAATGGAATTATACGCCAATACACCAGTGCCCCTAAGTTGATTCATTGTCCACCCTCCTCAATATGATTCCCCAACATGGCATTCCTTTTTGCATTTTTTTAGAAACCAAAGCTGTTGGTTATTTAGTTGAACCACCAGAGCGTATTGAACCTGTTCAACCGGCTAAACATCCACAGACAGATATTGTTTATATTCGTTTTCTTGTCCGTCCATTCACTGCTGAACAATTACGTCAAATGGTTACAACACATTATGGTCCTGTTGTTGATCTATGGCTAGATAAAATCAAATCATCCTCATTAATACGTTTACAGACTGTAGAATATGCTGAGAAATGTCGTGAAGGATTAGATGGTAGTCGTTGGCCATCTATGAATCCACGTGTCCTTCGCTGTGATTATGCCAGTATTGATTTATTCGAATGGATGAAAGTCAATGGTGATACAAGTGATGCTGTACCTCCGAAACACTTGCTGCTTGGTGAAACCTCGACATCATCTGTTGCAGAAAGTCAAACGGTTAAAGTCAGTGAAGAGAAATCTGGTAAGTTATCAACTCTTATCTTATCTGGGAATTTCGTGCCAACCGTCAATTCGGGTCGCGTAGTCAGTCAGTTACGTCATAACTGCATTCTCTTAACCTCATTTATGTTTAATGATGGTTCATATCTGTATAATATTCCTACCACGTGTTTTGTGTTGCTCCATCGAGAGTTCTCTCTTTCTGTAAACTTGAGCAGAGAAAGGACAGCAAACACCGGTGCAGAATAACATAGATCTGTTGTATTTCGTTGGTTCTCCTCATCTATCCATCAGCTGCATACAACCTATGCTCTTTAATCAATAAAAGTCAGCGTACAATTCAACATTCATTTGTCATCAACAAGTGTATTATAAGAGTGTCATGGTGAGTGAGGTAAACATACAAGATGACAAGGTAGCTGAAGTGTAAGTATATATATATATATCTTGTTAGAGAGAAGTTCCTAGAAAATCAATTGACAAGTTTGTTGTTAGGGTGGTAACAACCTATAGTAACAGCTACACAGCTAGAGTTCAGATGAAAAGATGTAATATGGTGAATAGAACTCTGGTGGGAAATCGTGACCAGTAGGGTACAGCAGGTTGAAGGTGAGGGTTGTTACTCGTCGAAGACATTCAACAGTGATCGCACTATGTCATGAATTAGCAGAAGTTCGAATTCATGGGCTGGCCATTGGATTGGCGGGTCCCAGTGGCTTGACGGTCTACAAGATCGCTTGCCTTGTAACCAGAAGGTCCTGGGTTCAACCCTTAGGTGGTATAATAGGCTAAGTGGTGCTGAGGTTAGGCATTGGTCGAGTGCTAGGTAAGGAGGGGAAATCAGTCGACGAGGTTGTGAAGGTGAATCGATTGAGGTGGCTAGGCCACACGTTACTTATGCCTAGCCATCGTCTTCGTCTACAGGCCTTTTAGTCAAGCTGAAATAGGTAGTGATATCAGTCAATGAAATCCACAACAGTTGGCTTAAGTCAGCCACGTAAGGAGGTGTAGGCTGTCTAACTGGTTGGAGCCCTCGAAATCCTAAGAACCAATGGCTGGAGACAGTTAGTGACATGGCCCAAAATCGTTTTCAGTTGGGGGCGCATTCGGTCCTTGTGATTTATCATATCCCCTCAATGAAACTCTGTTGTTCTTCCGAATTACTATTCTTTTTCTTTACGCACACTTCTGTTTTGAACCTCTCTTTACTCTGTTCCCTTGCTTTGTGTGGTGCTTAGAGGGAGGGAGGCAACTCGAACTGTTCTAGTTCTGTGCAAAGTTTTATGTTGAAAGCAGTTAGTCAGCGCTTTCACTTTTGTGGGGAACACTCCACCCCCTCACATGAAGGCAGTGAAATTAGTAGGAGACTTGCCTGTGATCACGTGGACACATGAAAGAGCATTTCAAGAGAGAGAGAAAGAGAGAGGGAGCAATGACCGGTTTCTATCCATCCTCATCCGTACCAGATCGTTTATTGAATGCGGGGGAGGGGGAGTCACTCTTTTACCTTATCTTTCCCACCTAGTATTCCAGGATTATACTGCTTCATTTTTTGCTGTACACTGATGTGCTGATGAGCGATCTTGTATGTATGTATGGTCTGTGTTGTATATACCTTGTAGGTGGATCAAGTGAACTACAACGTGATGGAAAGCCTGCAGATTTACGCCGAAAACTAGAAAGAGCCAATCGTGACTTAGAAGCACCAAATACTGCTGCAATAATGATGAAATCTAGACAAAATGAAAGTAAAGATGCCCTACCACCAGCACCAACACCACCATCACTGACTGACACGAAACGTAAGCACACTACTACCACAGCATAAGAATGAATATGCATGTATATATGTGTATATATCTTTGTCACACTCACACACACACACTTATGTGTAAGGCGTCTTTTTGTATGACTTTAGGGTTTTACAGAGGAGCGAATTCTTTCGACAAAAGTAAAAGAAATCTGTGTTCCTCAGGTGGTTTATTTCGCTTTATGTATACTACCCACGTCATCTAGTAGTGCTTGCCAACCAGCGAAATGGAGATGACCTAACTACCACTAGACGGCTGTTCGCTTTGTTTGTGACTCAGCTCATCAACAGCGTTGTGCCCCCGTTTTATACTCAGCTCAAATAAATAGCCAAATCAGTTCAAACCCACCCAATTTCTGACTGACGACTACAAATCATCAAACGGCTCCAAACGAGCAATATTCACTGACATAAGACTGAGTTTGTCAGGGTTAAGGTTGATCAAAGCAAAGTATTTCATCCGAGTTTATTAAATTCCTTAACTGTTATTGTTTTGAACCGAATGATGAATACAATGAGTAGATGCACCCGTGTCATATCTCCAGCCATTGATTCTTAAAATCATCTTGGATACATCAATCAGGCATTCTACACTGCCCTACATGACTCACTAGCTGAACCTAACGGTCAAGGACTTCATGAATTGATACCATATTTCAGTTTTTTTTCCTTCTCGTTCCCCAGTAGAACACAGGGCTTCGAGCAGTGGCTTGGAGTTTCTGTAGCAGTTTATATTTTACAGGATAGGGCTGCTAACCTCATGTCCAACCTTTCCTCTTTACCAGCATAATTTCTGGCTTAGCGAGGTAAAGGAGTGCATCGGTGGCCGGGGATCAAACTCCGGACCATGTGCATGGTCGGCGAGCGTCCTAACCGCTATGCCCTTAACTTCTTTAAGATCCAATCTTAGAATAGGTGGATGACTGCGGTATACGTGACGTACGAGCCCTACCCATCTTATTAATAGAGATATAGATTCAAAACTTCCGACTGATTTCTCCTCTTTATCCTCCCCGTAATACTCGATGCCTAACCTGAATACTGCTCGCCATATTATAGCATAATGACCACCAGCACCACCACCAGGTTGCAGTATATTTAACCTGAAAAGTAGTAAACTGTATGATCATTTCTCAATGTGTAACGCAAACCGGATGGATGTAGGAACGCCTCCTGTAAACATAAAACAGGAGATAACATCATTTGTGTGTGTGGAGGGTGGGATGGGGTGCAGGACGCGGTGAATTTTCGGCGGAAAGTAATCTGAGCTTACTGTAGCAAAGTTTGCATTTTGATTGCCATTTCATACAAACCTTTACAGGAAAGAGAAACATAGATTACAGAAGCTCCTGTAAAATATCTTTGAGGCACCAGGGTTTCAGTTAATTTCATTGTAGATTTCATCAGTTAGAGAATTATTGAAAATCAAGAAGAAGTGGACATCCGTTTCCTTTTAGTATGGAACTGTGTTCATAAGTGGGCATCCATGACCCCCCCCCGTCCATCAGAGGACGAACGTATTATTATTCAGCCTGCTAACCATTCCGCCACTGGGTTTAGAATTCATTGACATGCGAATTCTAACATCTATCAAGCGGTTGGTTTTCGGGGATTTGATTGGTTACCGATTTGACTACCAGTTGACACTAGAACTTGCGAATTGGCAGAAGTTGGAATTCATGTGTTGGCCATTAGGTCGGGTCCCAGTGGCTGACTACCCTCTACGAGCTCGACTTGTAACTGGTGTAGGTCCTGATTTCGAACTATAGGTGTGGGTGAGTGCGTACCGCTGAAGAGCCCCCTAAACTTGAACGTGGCAGCCAACTGCCCAGCACTCCCAGATGGCTTTCCAGGCTAATTACTGATATTTGTCAGGATCCGTTTCATGTTGACACATGGACACGACCCGATTGGCTATGACTTCTCACCAAGACTTTCTGGACATCCATACTACAGCCACAAGCAGCAGGCTGGAAGTTGACATTCAGAAATCGTATTTCCTAGGAAATTGTATTATTCTTAGCATAAATTTTGTCACACATTTAATTTTAATTTTTTCTTAAAAGTTGACGGTTTTATTGATCTGCGAATAAAGCAATCTGCATTGATTACACAAATTTTGTAATCTGTACTATCCGACTTGCCATAAAGTGATGTATGATAGTTACATGCCATCTACAGTTTTTGGGTTGTGTTGTGTTGTGTTGATAAATGTAGTGGCGTTCAGTGCCACAAAACTTTTGTATCAACTTCATTCAGCAGCTCTTATGACAGTGATCCTCAACGGGGGATGTGGAACTCAGAGAGGCGTTTGAGTTGTGAATACAAGATTACGGCATGGCTATCTGCTTACTGTCAGCGTTAACTATGGACCGATAAGACGACTCTACAACATCTGGATTTCGCGTGTGGATGATTTACGTCATCTTGTGTCACACAAACTTGAAGACTTACAGGCAAAAACCAACAAAGTAGCTGTGGAAGCAGAGAAGGAAGACAGAGGTAATGAAGACAACCAACCAACAACCACAAGCAGCAATTACTGTCAACGGAAGAAATTTTTAAAGAGGTCACTTCTTTCGCTTATCTAGACAGAATCTTTTAGAACTACAGGCCATAGGTACGGATGATGAGGATATCAGTACCAGAATCGGATAGGCGAAGCAGCCACTCACCGCTGTGAAATCAGTTTGGGAATCTTCTGCAATGACTCAACGTAAAGAATGCAACTCGGTTTTCCAAAACCAATTTAAATTAGTCAGTTTGTCACTTCTTTTATATGGGTCAGAAATTTGGCGAGCGCGTCACGAAAAGCATTTCTAACGGCCTACTGCGGACTTTATTCAAAAGCTACCCGCGTTTGTTGGAGGTCAGATGACATGCCACAAAAAATTAGCAACTAAAGACTCTGGGAACGAACTAACATTTGAGAAGCTATCGCTCAGCTAGTATATTGAATAAAATGGGGGGGGGGCGTGGATCAGGCACATGCTGAGGACACCGTTGATTGACATCACACACTACAGCAACTCTCGGGTGGGACCCGAATATGAAATGACGAGTTGGATGTCTAGGGTGGTGATATGGAGGAGGGGATTGTACAATCAGGAGATTAGATGCTACAGGCAGTCGTGGGGGGAGGGAGGGGCCAGCTAAAAAGGATTGCACGCACAATAGGACAAAGTAAAGATGTCCTGCTGAAAGTATATGTTTCACTCGGAACTCAAGGGAACAATAATAATAATAGAAATAGTAATCTGTTATCTAAGCTAGTTGGTTGTTGTACAGTTGAAAGCCTTCCAATGTCTTTCCGACTAAGAGCTATATTTATCGTGCCATGATGTTATCCAGTTGTACAGACTAAAGTAGGTGGTAGGTGGCGCATGATTCGAAGCCGGCACCGCATTTAATTGCCTTATATATTGTGTGTGTGTGCGTCACCTCTTCACGCATATATGGCATTAAAAACTTTGCTGTCATTCTGATGTTTCTGTTCAATCATAATGAAATTTGTGGTATGCTACTCTACTTATTGGCTTTCTTTTATCTCTCTCTCTCTCTCTGTATCTGTGGTAATAAAAAAAATAGCTAAAAGTGAAGAGCCTGCCAACTGTTGAACAATTTATTTCGAAAGACTACAGCTACTCCATCCATCTATTGGTTGCCATTAACTGCTGAACAGGTAAGTTGTTTAATGTTCTATGTATAATATAATGATTAATTTAATTGTATGTTCCAGTCATTTATGTGTTTTCGTTGTGGTCGTTGCCGTTTTTGTTATAGAAATATAACTGAAAGTTTAAACATTTTAACAGTTGTATAAACCCTTACCCACACACACATAAATACCTCCCTGTTGCATAAAAGTGGTGAGAGACTCTAATAGCAGCAGTAGTAGTGACCCAATAACCTTAGTGGTTAACGCTTTGTTGACGTTTATGGAACGATGGGTTGTGGTGGCGGCGGCGCAGGTACACCTCCCTCTTTCCCTCCAGGATGAAACACGCGCCATGAATTCTACTACTGCCCTCTCTCTCTCTCTAGCCACTGCTAATTTCACATTATATAATTTTATTTCGATGTAACACAGTCATACAGTATGAATAACTGGGTGACTGACAATCTCTCGGGTGCTGCTCATAACTATATCATCACTTTATATATGTATATGTGTATTTTTCTCTCCCCTCCACCCCTTTTTCTGTATATCTGCTTTATAGACCTTGAGTTATTTTGACAACAGCTGTTGAGTTTGTTGATTTGATGAACGGAAATTCAGTGATTAACCTCTCGGTCTCATTCACTCCACCCAAGTATATTTCATCCCGTCACTCCCCGCACCTATTGTGTATTCACATGCAAGTGAATGCAGTCCAATGACTGAGTTGCGATTTTTTCTAGATTATTTAACTTAACTGGCTAGTGGTCGCGCTATGTCGTGAATTGGCAGAAGTTGGAATGCATATGTTGACCACTGAATCGGGTCCTAGGGGGCCTAATGGTCTACAAGTTGCTCGCCTTGTAGCCAGAAGGTTCTGGGTTCGAACCCCGCTGGGTGTGTACTGTGAAGAATTCCAAACAATGATTAAAAAGAACTCTCCAGTACTCTCAGCTGGAATTCGGGCAAGAGATCAGTTACTTGCCCATTGGCTGAGTGGTCTGCGAGTTGCTCGCCTTACAATCGGAAGGTCCTGGATTGGAGCCCTACGGGTATGTGCGTAATGGTGAAGAGTCCGAGGCTTGGACGAAACAGCTGATTTTCCAATAGTTCTCCTACTGATGTCAACTCGTGATCAATCCTGTAACCGATCGAATCCCTGCAAAATCAACGCCTGATCGCCGGAAACACAGGAAATAATTTGGGATAACAACGCATACGTGTCCCCCCCCGCCCATCTACAGTAATATATTCCGATTAACAGTTACAACCCTGACGTTGTCAAACAATCGTGTGTACTCAGATGTGGTGCAATTACCATATGTTGACCCTATCAGTAAATGTCCTATCACACTTTATTGTAATCGTTGGAAAAGTAATCGTAGTTCATGTTTCAGGATGAAGCAACCATGATAAAAAATTTCATAATGTTGTATAGATGTGTTTGTTGATTTCTCTCATGCGCTGTGTATGTGTGTGTGGGCATGCGTGCGCGTGTACAGTTCACCTCTGAAATCATGCTTATTAATGATAATAATAATAGTAATATAATGTCAAGCATTTTCACATATCTATAAATAATATACCTAGCCGTTGACTTTCGCATACGGTTCATTGGATCTCGGTGTATAATCTGCCTAACTTTTATTAAATTCATCAAGGTGAATCAACGGACAAAAAAAGTTGCTGTTGAAAAATCCTCCTCCTCCTCCGGCGTGAAAAATGTCTCCAGTCGAAATTCCTCCTCTCATCATCTATCTTCTGAAGAGTCTGGACCTAGAGCTACACGCAGTCCGTTTACAAATACCACCGCGATCACCACTGCTGCTCCTCTTCCTCCTACTTCTACGACATCCGGTGGTGGTCAATCCTCTTTGCATAAAACTGCTGTGAAAACTGGATCAAAAGTTTCCAATGAGAGGCGTTTGCCAACTGCAACTGCTACTACAAAGTCTAATGAGACAGTAAAACAAACGACGGCTGCAATTAAGAAGTCGACACAAAGTCACGCCTCATCGTCTACTTCGGTTACTGCTGCCGCTAATAATAATAATAAACATTCAACGGTACCATCCGATTCTAAATTATTGAAATCGAGGAATACATCAGATATGAAAAGTGGTCATCGTGTTGATATAGCTGATAAACAGATATCACAATTATCTAAATCAGATGTTCAATCCAATACGTCGTCGTCATTGATAAAAATGGATGATAATCGGAGGAAAGAATCCGTACGTGTTCACGCTTGCGTATATTTGCGTGTGTGTGTTTGTGTGTGCGTGTGTGTGTGCATATGAGTTCCACATTTTCTGATCATCAAAAGTCTGTTCGTAGGGATACGACTTATTTCAGATCTGACTACGGATTGATATCAGTTAGAAAGCGAACCATTCAAAACTAGCTGGTAGTACTGAACAGCTGTTTCGTCCCACTAGTTTGGGACACGTCAGCAGTAAGCACGTAGGTCGGGTGTTAGTGGCTGTGAATGGTATACGAGATTAACTGGTGACCAGAAGGTCCAGCGTTTGAATCCTGGTGGTGAGTGCGTACTGCTGATGAGTCTCGAACTGGTTAGGCGAAACAGCTAGCTAGTTGTTCAGTACGCCCAGTTCGTTCTCTAACTGATATCAATCCATGATCAGATTTCGTGATCTCTTAAAGTTTCACCATACACGCCGGATAGTTTTTCGTTTTGACCAGGTTTAGAGTTTAGTATAGTTTTAGCTAAGTATACGTAGAAACATGTTATCATTATTTTTATTACTATTGTTGTTATTCCGTTGCGTTTCGAGTGCAGAACATCGTAGGGCCTCTTCAGCAGCAGCAACAGACACTGCACGTCACTATTCCACAATATTCTCTGCAGTCTTCTCCTCACACGATCCCCTCGACGTCACCTGCAAACGCCAAACACTCATCCCGTTCCCCCATTCAACTGCCACTTGAAGGCGCCTGGCTGGGGTGATGTGTTATGTCAGTAAACGATCTTCCCAGCTTATGTAGTAATCTACTGACATCGTATGGGATGGGACTTGTTGTTTCGGGTAATGCCACCCCTAGGATTCCAACACAAGTTCACATTTCGGCTGTTATATATAACCAAACACTCACATTAACTCACTCCCCACACAACTGTCAAATAACTAACTGTAAACAAAACATACTACTTAAAAGTATTGAGATATATTATTCTTACTTCTCGTTTATAATTACATTTTCATATATATTTTTTTCACTTTAGTCATCTCCAACTCGTGCTCAGAAGCGTCCATCCAAGACGATAACAACTAGTGATGATAAGGAGATTGTGCCGTCAAAACAAAGTCGATCTAATGTTACCTCTAGTAGTAGTGGTGATTCATCAGTTGTAGGCGGTGCTTTAGCAGCTTATAAACGAAATCATGTCGGTTCACAACCAGAACATCATGAACATCGTTCTGAACACCGAAGACGTTCATCCAGTGGTCGTGGTCGTAGTCCTTCATATCGTAAAACAACAGCAACTGCTACCAGCTACAAAAGTTATCGTCCAGAAAATATGCGTATAAGAGATAAATTGTCTCACTCTCGTGGTGGTGGTGGTGAACGATATCGTTCACGGTCAACCGATAGAAGGTATCGATCTAGATCGATTGATCGAAGAAGTCGATCTCGATCACCGATTGTTAGTCGACGGAATCGATCTCGATCAACTAGTGGTGGTCGTGGTCGTGGTGGTAGTCGGAGAAATCGTTCTCGATCGTATGGACGTAGAGATCGTTCTTCATCTTATCGTTATCGATCACGACGCTAATGCATTTGATGATGATGGTGATGATGATAACCACACTGTGTATATTTTATATATGGATCCTCATTATTCTCATAGCTACAAATTTCTTCTTTTTTGTGTTATATGCCCATTCTCTCTCTCTCTCTCTCTGTGCCCCCTTGTCTCTCTTCACTAACTACATAACGAACCAACTACATATTCTCACTTCATGAAAACTTGGAAATAAAAACTAACTACCTATTATCAGTAGAGTTGTTATTGATCGCTTTTTTGTGCGACTTGCGAAAGCATCGGAGGGATTTCGATGACCAACGGCTTTGACACGATATACAAGTATATCAATGGTATGAATTTATGGCCGTGTTCCACTTTTCTCCCTCTCATTAGTATGATCAAGATTATTGTGATCTGTGTGATATGCGTAGAAACAGTGTCTTCAACATTGATCTTGTTATGCGAGAAACCGTAGGGTTTAATATGGCTTGTGGGGGGGGGTGACTGACGTTGAAGGAGGGGGAGGAGGCACCGTCTGTATTTAACAGCAGTGGGAAATTGTTCCATTCTGTTGAACAGAGCAACAATAACAGTCTGGTAGAAGTGAAACCGTCTGTGAAGTGTGAACGGTTAATTTGACATCCTTCAAAAATGCCTTCAACACTGTAAAATAAAGCACTTTTGGAAACTGGATGGTCTATATCTCCAATGCTTTTTGTGCTAAAGCTGGTCATCAGGTGGGGATTTTAAAGGGAACTTTTCAAGTACTTGAGCGCTTTTTTATGTAACTCCCTGTTCAGCAAATTATTCTACCCTTTTTTCCTACTTAGATTCTGGTTAGAAAGTGATTCCGTTGTGACTTGGATTGTGTACTGGAGAATAGCTGATTGGTAGCGTGCGTGCATGATGTTGGTGTAAATATGCTTTCTGGAGAAAGACTTTCCAACCTTCAGTATTCAGATTATATCATCCTACTGTGTGTTAACATCCAGTTTGCTCCAATTGCACTTCCTCGGCCTTATCTGTTAGTATGCTATGTGATTTGCGACGTCATACTGTAAAATTGGAAGCAGCCTGTACCTGAACTCGCGCACTCTTGCAGATGAACCACCTAAAGTTGTCGATAGGTTTGTGTATCTGGTTAGTTGTATGAGTCCTGGCTGAGGTATGTCGGACGAAATATCTACCATATAGTGGAAGATAGGTTGGTAAAGGTCAATTTGAGCCACCTCTGGTGTCGTCATGATATCAGCCTTGCTTCAAGTCTGTGAAACCCAGTCTCTCCGGACTGGAGATATGCAGTGACTCTCCGTAGAATTGCTTGTCTCCAGTGGTAGCATCGTATGAGTGATTCTGAGACCAGGCAGCGTGTGTTTGCATACCCCGGAGGTTTCCGTAACGGTCTTTGTTAGCCCTGGGAATGTGCGAGTGGTGGTCAGCATATGACGTGGGATGAAGGATATTTGTGTCAGATTAGCATCAGTCGGTACACCATGACTCCCTGGTCGGTGTCCTAGAGATAGTTTGAACCGATGGCTAAATATGTTATCATATATGGTCAAGAGTCGCAATCAATGGTGAACATGCTCCAATATCCTTCTTTCTTCCCTTTATGGAAGTAACATTGAGCGACGAGTGTTAAATTATTTCGACAGGTATGCTTGCTTGCTTTTTGGAAAAGTTCCATCACATCTCTAGGTGCTCATAATGTTCTGAGATCGTATCACTGGGTGTTATCATTTCTTTTGAGGTGGTGCGGATACTGACAAGTACCGATAAGCCCAAAATCTAGGTGTCCATGGTTTTCTACCGATTGTTTCCTAACATCTAGTAGCAATATCTTAATGCAATGAACTGTATAAGTGTAGGGGGGTTTATTGATCATATATTCACTCTTCGACATATTTACTGGCTTTCAACATTTGGCGTATTTCTTCTCCTGGAAGCAGAATTCAACTCTATTGACCGAGAGGAACTAAGGCAGTGAGCGGAGTACTGAGAAAGTATATCACATTAATCAAGGCTCAGTCTCTTGCAGCCGTGTATTAGCTTTTGGTAATTTGTCATTCTAAAGTCCTGTCCGTCAGGGATGCGTACTGAATTCATTTATGTTTAGCTACGTCATAGATGTACTAATGGGATTTCTGCTGACTGGCTTAAGCGACATGGGGATTGGATTGAACTGTTACCAGGGAATTGTCTTGTTGACTTAGAATATATGCGGATGATATAGCCCTTCTTGCTAGGTGAAGACGTTGACAAAATCCTGAATCTTCTGAACACACCCAGCATTCTATTCTCTCCTATCGAATGTAACACGATGCTACACAACGACTGCAGTAAAACGACTCCTAGTTTAAAGATTGGGAGTGAAGTGATGGCTGAGCGTGTTGACTACTTCCCTTATCTAGGGTGGGTGGGGGAAGTTACATCGGCCAACACCAGCGGGTTGATTGCTGACGAAATTTCAGCACGGATAAATGGGGTGACTTGTTGCGTAGCATTTGCCAACTTCATCTCTGGCTTGGTAGACGTGATATCCGGCTGTCGACCAAAGGATGGATGTACTGCTCAGCAGTTTTCCTCGTCCTCTATGGTTGTGAAACATTGCGATTGAAAGTGGAAGAAATGAAGGGCTATTTGTCTTAGATCATAAGTATCTGCGTTCTATCTCCCATAGTAGGTAATATAATAGGGTGAGCAATATTGAGGTTAGGCGTCGAGGAGGGAAAATCAATCGTCAGGGTTGTGAAGGTGAATCAATTGCGATGGCTAGCCATCACATTCCTCGACAATGGGTAATGTTAGCTGAAACATGATCGGTGAGGTTGGAAAAGAGCTATTAGTGACCAAACGAGAACACTGAAGCACTCCATCAAACCTTAAATAGTTGGTTTGAGCCAACTACGTAGGGACGGAGGTGGAGACTACCTATTTAGCTTAGATTTTTAACCGTTTCCTATTCAGTTTCAAAGTATACTAATTAATTGATAAGAAAAAACGCAGTTTTGTTCAGCGAAGAAATTTCTTTTCAACGACTTCATTTTCAAGCTGTACAGTCATATTTATATTACAGAAAAAGGTGGTTATTAAGTGGCACTAAATAATTGCTCAGTCAATGTACGTATATATGTGATAAAAGTTATAAGGGGTAGAGTTGAAGTGGATAAATTACAAAAATATTAAAGATTGTTTCATAACGAAAATGTCAAGTGTTGTCTAAAAATATTGAAAATTAGGAGTACGATTACGATAAGATTGAAGATGTGAAGTGAAGTGGAAAGAATTCAAGTGGTAAAATAAAATAAAAACTAGAAAGAACATTATTATGACCAGGGTAAAGAAAGGGGTTTGACAAAACGCTTTTGAACACAATTTAGGTTTCTGTTCATGTATAGCTAAATCTTCGGCTGACTATGCATAAGTGAAGAAAACGTAAACTTTTGGATCGATTCGATTTTGCCATGTAGATAACTTTGAAAGATGAATCACGTGGGGCTAAATGACCAGACTCTAACAGGTGATCACAAATAGACGACTTTGCAGTCCTACGTTCGCCTTTCATTAACCAAACCGGATAGTGTTCAGCAACACGTTTTCGGAGATTACGCTTACAACTTCCAATATAAACAGCTCCACAAGAGCAAGTAAAAGAGTAAATGCACATAGATGTAGACAAAAGCGGTAATCTATCCTTGACGCATTGTCTAATCATATATGAAGTCCATCTCTTCGAAAGAGACTTTTTGGCGGTTCAGCGTATACCTTTCTTCTTGCTCTCCATGTAAAATCTTCTGCATGATGCCATCCATCACCACAATCAGGAATTTCATAGATGATAGTAGGCTGACAGTTTTGTCTTACACCCATTTTCACTTCAAAGGCACCATCATTTAGCTGTAGTTTACATACCTCTTCAACGTATGAATACTTCCCATCCAGACATTAGTAAAAACAGAACAGGTAGTTCAGCGAAGAGACTCGTTTCGGCGACGAATTCATTTTCCTTAGCTGTACAGTAGCATTTATGTCGACTTTTCATGAAAGAGGATAGTAACAAAAGTGAGGAGTTGTCACAGTCATGGTTATTATTATTGTGGTGAGAGCTGTCTGCAAGACAAAATTGTAGACACCAATTTACGTCAATGTTTGCGTCCCAAATCAGGGTCATCAGTAAACACTAGAACAAGGCCTAACCTTGAGGAACTCAACAACCAATCACAGAAGACTTAGCGTGGGCGGATGCGATTCCCAGATATTTGGCTTAAACTTTTAAGAAATAGCCACGAAGAGGTGACAGAATAACCTTGAGCAGCAAGAAAACAACCAATCAGAAGACGTTGCTTCTCTGCTAACAATAACGCTAATAAAAAATGTACACAGAAATTTATAAATTTCTGTTGATTTTCTGAATAAATGATCTGCTGCCTAACCCTTGTCTTCTGTCGTTAAAATATTAGTCACTGCATAACAAAAGTCGAATAAATGTATTACAGAGTTATGTAATCAGATGAAGAATCTAATTAAATGAGTTGTAATCAATTAGGATGCACGTTGAAACAAGGGAAAACATGGGATTATGTGAGAGTTCTAAAGGAACACAAGAATTATAAGGTGTTAGAAAAACAAGCAAACAAAGCGAATCCGGTGAGTAAAAATCAACAGTGAGGTTGTTACCATGAAGGTGGAATTGGTTTTTCCAAATGAATGACTGAGGCTTCTGCAATCCAAGGGAGACAATAGCATGTTGTCTATGACAGGTTACTCTTCACTTTGTAGGCTGACTAACGTTGACAAGGTGTTCGATAATTGCACTACTAATAGAACAACTACTGCCTTTCTGCAACAATGTGGTGGGAAAGCGTTCTTGATTCCTTGTAGACGGAATACTCGTCGAACGACCAATATGCGTTGCTTCACTGCTACAGGTCAACTGATATATGCATATAACACTGGTCATGTTATCATGTCTTTTGAGCTTCTCCAGAATAATGGACGCCTAGAGCATACATTTTTTAGCGTTTCTGTAAGAAAGTTCCGCTCAAAAATGCCGAAATTCCCATCTTAGGGAATTCCAGGTTCTTGCAAAGTTCCTTTCTCTGGAACAAGTAATATTTCATTCCCCTGAACTTTTTGTGTGATATTCTTGTCAATAAATCCCAGATTGGGTATCCATTTTTGATGAAGATTCCTTAAAGGAGATCTGGTTCCGATTCTAGGGTGTCAGGACTAAAGATATGTTGGACCCAAATATCAAGGGATTTTTAATTACATTTTGTTTCCGTTCATCAGACAATCAACTGTAGAAACTTGTTAACTGTCAGTTCCAAGTTCTGTGGGGTATTTTTCTTAGTCCCACATAAAGAAAAGGAATATTTTGGCTGATAGTAGTTTTTACATATTTGTAACGATTGATTGTGGTGATCACTATTATCACAAATGGTGGAATTGTCATCTACATACCTTAGTGTACAGCTGTAAATTGTCAAATGGATCGACTCTAATGGGCCGTTCTCTAGGCTACGCATGAAACTGTCTACCACTGATGAACCCAAGGAAGAATTCCATTACATTACCATCCTTTTGTCTGTAGATACTAATGAAAGTAAATTCGCCCTTAAATGAACCTCTTCGCTAAACTACGTGTTCTGTTTTTGTTTATAGATATGTCAACTTACAAAATTTTAAGCTTCTCCTCTTATACTACTATTTAAAGTAGTTGACTAAATCAAACAAAATAAAAATAGAGGTCGCGCTAAATCATGAATTGATAGAGGCTAGAATTCATGAGCCATTGAATCGGGTCCCAGTGGCTGAATGGTATACGAGCCAGCTTGCCTTGTAACCGGAAGGTCCTGGGTTCGAATCCCAGTGGGTGCGTACTGTCGATGATTCCCAAACTAGGATGAAATTAAGGATCATTGAAACCATGTTGGCCAAGGTAACGAAATGGTATGAACCGACATCTTCCTTCGGATCCATACATAAGTTAGGCTTCTCAATGTAGATCCCAACAGCCAGCTTCAGCAATATGTAGTAGACGAACTCTTAAGGTGAAGTTAGGATTAGTTGGTTGGTTAGTTGCCACAGATGACTTTGAAAGCGTCCTTGACATCAACTTTGTGTTCTATATCCACGAGATGAGGTAGAATAGCGCTATGAATGGATTTTGTGTGTCCCTTACTCAACCACACACTATTGTGTTCGGAAATTCGACGATAAAGACGTTTAATTGTACGACCGTTGTAACTGAATTCTCTGGCGCCAGTTACTTTTCATTAATATTCAACGATAAGAATATGCATCAAAAGTCGAGGCAGGCCAAAGTATCAACAGTTCCGAAAAAGGGTTGCGTTGTTCTTACAACTTTGGTTCATCGGAGTTAACATCAATGAAACATTAACACAACAATTAAGGAATGCGATAAAAATAGCATTCAGTGCTGATGATTTATGCTGTGTCTTCAAAGCCACCCCTATGTTTTCGTTCGGGTGTTAAAGATGAACTATGTGATGTGTTGCCTGTTCCATGGGTATCTACTAATCTGACTGCTTCTGTGGAGCCGTACAATGAGGTGTGTTTTTCGCTGGATTTCTGAACACCATCCTGCATAGTGGTTAAGTAAGTGACTGTTATGTCTGAACAGCTAATTTTTATAACCGTGATGAGCTCGACTAGTAATACGCTAATACGTCTATCCGTCTGTTGTACCTTCTTATTGATTGAGGCACCCAAATATCAAAAGATAAAAGCTGGCCTGTGATTGGAAGATACCGTACTGTACGTTTACTGGGAAAACGATACATGATAGCTACACATTTTTACCACAATAAGGTTGCCGTGAGAAATGATTGATCGCATAATGAGTCACAATATGCCTTAGAAAGGATGATATACTATTTCATGCGGGATCCTATCAGCGACCAACCAAATCCCTTCATAGTTCTATTCTATCTCATCTCATGGATACATAACACAAAACTGATGTTAATCGACACTTTCGAAGTCATCTACCACATAACAACTAATCTTGTGGTAAGAGCTGTCTGCAAGCCAAAATTGTAGACACCAATTTACGTCAATGTTTACGTCCTGAATCGGAGTCGTGGGAACAAAAACAATAACAAAGCTTGACCTCGAGGAACTCACCAACCAATCACATAAGACTTAACCCGTCTAAATGTGATTCGCAGTACAGAATAACCTTGAGGAAGAAAACAAAATCAATCAGAAGACATTGCTTCTCTTCTGACAATAACGCTAATAATAATGTAAATAAAAATCTGTAGATATCAGTTGATTTCCTCAATAAATGATTTGTTGCTTGACCCTTGTCTTCTGTCGTTATGGTCTCAACTTTACCTCTTTTTTCTTTCTTCTTTTATGACTTGCCTCACTCTGATGAAATAAACTTTGTGAAGTACGCTGATGATTTAACAGTTTCAATGGCTATTAAATCCCAGCTAGATTGTACCAAAATAAATAGCTTTGTGTCGGGAGTCAGTAAATGGTCTGAGTCTAATGGTCTTAAGCCGAATCCTTCTAAATGTCAAACTGTTAATTTCAGCTTAAGGTGTAAAAGACAGTTAAAAGAAGTCGTCGATTCTAACGACAGTTATAAGATTGACGACAGTGATATAGGAATTAAATCAGAAATTAAGTATCTTGGACTCTTTCTCTCTTCTGATCTCTCCTGGTCTTCCCATGTCTTAGCAATCTCCATTAAAATATTCCGCCTGGCATTTTACATTAAGAAGTTAAGACGCTCGGGTATAACTCAACCCTTCCTCTTACAGTTCATGAACTCTTGCATCCTACCTATTCTTCTTTATTGCTCACCCTCACTCTTTCCCGGTTTGCTTAAAAGGGACCATGTCACAATTCGTAGAATACTGAAGACTGTCAATAGAGTGAGTGGTGTCCCAGTGGACCACATAGTTAACGTCGTTGTCGATAGGCACTTGACTTCATGCAATAAATTTGCTAAAGGGATTTCGTCTGACTTGGGGCATCCGCTTTACCCTCAGCTTCCTTTCACCTTGCATCTCCTCAGGTAGAACAAGGAGTAACTTCAGAAAACTGTATGCTCGCACGTCTAAGTATAAGAAGTCTATGATACCATACTTGGCATGTATTTTATGTGATGAAAATAGTGTCAGGCAAGAATTAACTAACCTTTTTTCATTTAGCAAATAAACAGTTTCCTCTATCCATCCATCCTTATATACCTTCAAGTTTTACTTTTATTATTTCTATTATATTTATGGACTTGTTGCTTCTTTGTTTTACTCTCATAATTTCAAACACCAACTTATCTCTGTGACTGCTGTAATCTTTGTTTTTCCCCTTACCAAATCATGTAAAGAGAACATTATATTTAATATTATCAAAAACATGTTAGGATTTCTATACCACATTGCCAATACTGTGTGCAACAAGCCCACGGCAATTTTCACTCGTATTATTATTATTACCCTAGCTATTATCATTATTATTGTTATTTCCACTTTATATGCTGCGTGTTTCTGACACTAGCCCTATTGTAAATGTGGAAGATTTTCTGTGTGATTAATTTTATTTATAATTTTGAGGAAATTAGATGCAATATTGTGATTAATTCTGAAAATTCCAGTCTGTATTACAAGTACTGTTTTTGGAATAATGTAAATTATTATTATTATCAACAGTTCGTCTATTACATATTGCTGAGACTAGCTATTGGGGTCTAGATTAAGAAACCTAACTTACGTACGTATGTGTCCAAAAAAAAGTAAGTTCAGAAACACTCTGCTTACCTTGACCGTCAAACAAGGTTTCACCATCAACGAAGCTTTCAGTGATCGTCAATTTATTATGAAAATATTTGTGCGTTTTTCTTAATCATAATAGCTTTATTCCAAAACAGTACGTGAGATACAGAATGGAATTCTCAGCATTTTACTACAGTATTGCATCCAGTTAGTAAATTAACAATAAATAAAATTCAACATAGATTAATGTTATCTCAGTTCATTATGATAACAACATATTGGCATGTCGGTAGCAAAGCCAAAATTGAACAGAGTGTTTGAAGGTGCTAGAAAATTAAGTGTTAGCATATTTTCCGGAGTAAGCAGAAGAAAGAAACAAATCTGTACATAACAGAAAAAAGAGAGAGAAAAGGAAAAGAAAGAAAGAAAACGTTGTACCTGTAAATGATATGAGTTGGAAAGACGAGATCTAGTTGTTCTACTGACTATTTAATAAGTTAGCTGTAGGTATCACGCCTAATGCTTTCTTCTTTATCGTACAGAACACGAGCTAAGTAGGGTATGGTTGAATTTTTGTACTTACTAGTGCGAGCATATAGTTTTCTAGATAGGCTACAGGTTTCGCCTGATGAGATACAAGGGGGGAGGGGTTAGAGTTGTGAATAAAGAGCGTGGTGGTGTGAGTTAGATAGATCGAATGGATTAAGCCCAATTTTTTCACATGAGTCCATGTGACTATCAACCAGAATATTAACAAGCTGGTTAAGTGGCACGTAGCTTACCCTAATGACAACCTTTAACATCCTGCGTAATCAGGTATAGTCTTTCTTCAGTAGCCAGCCCTGGAAAAACTAAGGGGGAGCAATAGAGAATAATAGGCAGAAAGCGAGAGTTACCGAATTGTAGGAGTAAGGGTTGGGTTATTCCAGAATGTCTTAACTTCTTGATGTAGAAGGTGAGACGGAATATTTTCTTAGAAATCATCAAGATATGAGACGACCAGGAGAGATCAGCAGATAGAATGACGCCTAGATATTTAATTTCCGACCTGGTCTCTATATCAGTGTCATCTATGTTGCACACCTCATGAGTGTTAACCAGTTTGTTTAGGTCAGATTTATGCCTAAAGGTAAAATTTACTATTTGGTATTTGGAGGGGTTTAAGGTGAGACCATTTTCCTTGGATCATTGGCTGATTTCTAATAAAAAGCCGTTCAGTTAAGTGTAGTCACTTTGACAGTTGACAGGCAAAGATACAGTCAGGTCGTCAGCATATTTGACAAAATTAATGTCATTTGAAGATGGTAAGTCATGTGGAAAGAAAGAAAGAAAAGAGAAATGGGGAGAGTACAGCACCTTTTGGGGGGACACCAGCTTCAGTGAACACAGCAGAGTAGGATTTGCCTTTGTATACAGTATATTGCATTCTGTTAGAGAAGTAGGAATGCAACCAGCTAGTGACGCAGGACTCAGTTTATGTCATCGAGAGCTTATTTAGCAAGAGACATTTAGGTACAGAGTCGAAAGCAGAAGTGAAGTCGAGAAACGTGCAGCGGACGTATTTGGCACGTTTATTTAATGATGAGACGATACTGTTGTTTAAGACGGCTGCAGCGTCTAAAGTGCTCCTACCTTGTCTATAGGCAAATTGTTTGGGGTCTTCAAAACTTTTAAGGGAGGGTTCGAGTTTAAGAAGTACTAGTTTTTCCATGAGGCTTAGATAAGTGGAAGCGATGGCAATTGGTCTGAAGTTCACGTTCTTGTTATTGCCAGGTTTAGGGACAGGGACTATTTAGATATCTTTCGATGGAACAGGTACAATGTTTTTGGAGAAAGAAGCATTTAGGATGTTAACATTTGTTTGCTCGTGCGTGTTTCTGATAAAAATCAATTAATTCACGATGAATTATTTAAATTATTCACATCACTGGTAATAATCGATAAATATTAAGAATATTAACAGAGAAGTAATAAAGACAGTAATACTTCATCATTATTTTTTTTATTATTCTCTATTCTACTACTTATATCTATATCAGTATACATAAATATACAACAAGTCTAGTATGGATTTAGATCCAGAGAAATTGGATAAACTACGTCGATTGATAGGTAAGACAAGTTATGAATTGAATGCCTTAAAATTAAACAATGAAATAAATATAAAGAAGCATTTTAAAATTATTCCTAGAGTAAAAGTAAAGAGTAAAGAAGAGAAACGTATCAGCCTACAAATGGTTGATTCTATACCAGATCAATTAGCAAGTAAATCACTGGAAAAAAGTTTCATTCATAATTATGAACGTCATTCAATTCTACGCACTGTATTACACTTAACGTCGCATACATTTGATGGAGATTATTTAGAAAATACATTCGATAAAAGAAAGTTAATTCGTGTAGGTAGTCGACTCAAAACAATCAATGCTGCTGCTGCTGATGATGATGATGGTGACGTTGACGAGGAGGATATGGTCGTGGTGGATGGTATTCACAGTGATTCAACAGATCAATATAGACGAAAAACCGGCAGTAAACGTATCACATGTCAATGGGATACAAAATCCAGTGGTAAAGAGGATATCATACCATATTATCATCAATATCAACGTCCGTGTATCTTCCCTCTACCATTAGATCTTACTGATTATCGTCCATTGAATGCTCCATTTGTACCAGATTTAATTTTTTGTTTAGTCAATTTAATTGAAGCAAATTGTTATAAAGAAGGTTGGAAGTGTATGTTTCAAGCATTGAATGAACATGATTGTAAGGCGAAAGAATATGTTATAAAGTTGATACAAATTGGAAATAGTAAGCGAAAGTTAAAAGAAGTTATACAACGCTTGCCGACACCAGTAATGATTGCAACATTACGTGCATTTTTAAGAGAATTTCGTATTAAACCATTGCATTTACCTGATCGAATAGTTCGAGATTTAGTGAAACAACCACTGTATGATCAATTCTCACGACCAAATAAACAATTACGCCTTATCATACGTAAATCATCATTGTGTAGTCCAAGAACACAAATCGATACTTTGGCTTTTTTAATGACGCATATTTTGCACGCTTGTGAATATGCTAGGAATCAAATGCAAGGGAAGATTATATTATGTAATATTTATGGACCATTATTGATCAGTTTTTCGCATAAACCAGATTTTATACGTGATTATTTCAATGAAGATTGTATTCTAAGTAATAGTAATAATACTATAAATAATTATCAACGTACAACTTCTCTTGCTACTAAAAATGATTTCTGCGATAAGAATTCAAACATTGTCCGATCTACTTATCATCAGTGTGTGGAATCAGCTGTATTACAAGCGATATTAGATGTTTGTGATTTATATTTTTGGAATTATATTGGCTTATTTAAAATCCAATCATTATTTATGCACAAAACAAACCAGGAAAAACTTCGTCAAACTCTACTCGATCCGTATTCAAAATTGGCTCGACGATCAGTACGTTTAACTCGAAGGAATAAATCGGTGTTTTTAGCACCGACTATGGTAGATTTTGAAAAGGAGATCCATTCACCAAATATTACATCAATGTAAGTTGTGTTGTTTTGATCGATAATTGTTTGTTTGCTTCCGCTGTCTGGTCCTTTGCTTTTGTGGTTCATTCGCACAGAAAGACAACTAATTAAGAACAAGAGATGAAGGCAGATTTCTTATAAACAACTGCAAATAGTTATGGACAATATGCCCACATAAAGACATCAAAATCCTTTTGGGTGATATGAATGCCATATGAACTGGATGGCAGAGGCTCTGGCACGGAAAAATGAGTGAGAACAGAGAATTATTCGCAGACTTCTGTGCTTTCAATGATTTGGTGATCGTAGGGTGAGCGCGTACAAGCAATAAGGATATACACAAAGCAACATGGATTTCGCCTGATAGACACACCAAAAACCAGATAGGCTTTATCTCAATGCTGCTCAAGGGTTTAGATATGTAAGCCACAGCTTCTTCAGGAGCAGCAGAATTATTCGGATTTTTATTAACCATCAAAATATATAGTCACAAATGTCATAAACTTAAGACAGTTGCTTTGAAGTTCACCTATCGGTAGACATTTGTACTAATACTATTTGCTTCATATAATATTAAAGTCTATTTCAAGCTGTATAATTCTTTAGAGAAAGCCTTTGCGAATGTCAAGGATATGGTTCCCAAAATGTCACAGAGTAATTGTGTATATAGGATAATGTGTTCAAAATGTGAAGCTTGATATACAGGGGAGAGCAGTAGACAGGTGAAGGTCAGAGTGAATAAACACAGATTGTGTACGAATCGTCCACCTTGAAATGAAGTGGAATTAAAAAGTTTACAAAAAAAGATCAGCTATAGCAATGCGTGCTATAGACAGTGGACATAAAATTGATTTTAACGGTGTCGGAATTCTAGGAAGAGGCTTTCATTCAGCAGATAAAGGAATGCTGAATTCCGAAGCCTTGCGCATTTCAACCACATCGAATGCAGTAAATGCAAGATAAGGGATATGGCAAACTCTAATGAAGCAAAACAGATGAGGGAGAAAAAAATAAATTCAGTCATGTTTTGACGTGTTTCCCACACAACAAACGGCAAACACAGACACACGCACACACATACACTCATACAGACAAATATGTGCAGATGACAATTTGATATTAGTCATTACTTTCTATAGTTTGGTTTGTAAGGATTAGTTATGTTTTACGGGTTGATCACGGATTGATATCAGTTAGAGAACGATTGAAAACCAGGGAGTACTGGACAGCTGCTGTTTCATCCTAGTTTGGGAATCATCGGCAGTACGCACCCATTACAAAAATATATGATGATGACTGTTTATACACTTTTCTGTTGGTACACATGTCTACTGACAAGTGAACTTCAAAGGAGCTGGCTTGAATTTATGTAAACATTTTTGACTATATATTTTTATGGGCCAAGTTAAACTTTCGACACCACTAACTACCAATCAGTGAACGATGTCGAATTATCCAATGAGATTCACGAACGTAGTTCAATGTTGTATAGCGCTTGATTCATTTCTAATGCGTGTCCTTACAAGGTTACGGTTGCAATTCGAGGAGGATAGTGTTTTCCAGTACTGACTGGATTTAGGGTTGCTCCGGAAGGAGCGAACTTGTTCGTGTGGTGGTATCATGACTTTAAAAAGCCATAGCAGGTCAACTGATGGATTTGTTCATCGTTGTGCTATATGATTGAAGCTTGCTGGCATTAGAGAGGGTAAGCTTTCTCTAGGTTACACCTCTCCCTAACTCAGATTTTGTATATCTGCAACTTCTGGGTGTTGAAACAGCCGGTGAGAGCAGCAGCTGCTGAGACGAAGAATAGCCACATCTCAACAATTCAGTGGTACCAGCATTGCAGATATTGCTTCATGGAAAATAGCGAAAATCACTTGTTTGCTGGGTGGAGAAGACGTTGTCATGCATGTCGATGAAACTGTGCTGGTGAAAAAGAAATACAACCGTGGTCGCCAGCAAGCAAACAATATTTGGGTATTAGGTTTATACGACACCCCCTTTGAAAAAGGATTCCTCAAACGGATAGCTGACAGAAAAGCAACCACTTTATTACCTATTATAACGAGACTTGTTAAACGGGGGTCAATTATACACATGGACGAGTAGAAAGGTTATAATTCGCTGTCATCTCTGGGGTATATTCATCACAGAGTGAACCATTCAAGTGATTTCGTGGATCCTATTAAGAGGACTCATAGGAATTCCACTGAAGGGTTTTGGGGCCGCTTGAAAAACAGGATAAGGGCTATAAATGTATCTCGAAAGGATCTCATTTATTGTCATTTAAATGAATATATATGTACAGGATGTGGTGCGACTTCTCCATTGACAGTCCGATGCTAAACTGGGAGATGTTTCTCTCACATGTTCGAGAAAGATACCCCTTGTAACTGTTTTATCCTTTTTTCTATAAATATACATTTCCATTTAACATAAATGCCTCTTTAATGTGATTGGTCCGTTCAAGGTCGTTTGCTGATTGGTTGTTAGTGGTGTCGAAAGTTTAACTTTGCCTTTTTATGTTTGATAATAAATCCGAATAATTGTGCTGCTGGAAAAGCTGTGGTGGTTTACACATCGAGGCGTTGAGAAACATGTTGGTTTGATCATTTTAAATGATTTATAATGATTGAAAGGAATACGTTGGACCAGCGATAAGAAGACTGTAGAATATCTGGATTTCGCCGATGACTTATGTTTAGTATAACACAAACTCGAATGCTTACAGACAGGCGAAAACTCAACAAACTAGCAGAAGAGGCTGGCAGCAAAAGACAGGACTCCAGGTGAACATCGAGAAGAACGAAATGATGAATACAACCGACCATCACAAACAGCACCAACAACCAATACCATTTACCATCAAGGGGAGATATTTGACACCGATTAATTCCTTCACTTATATAGGAAGCACCGATTCAAACACAGCCACACGACACTGATGAAGATGTCAACACCGGCTGGCCAGGTTCGGAAAGGCAAGATACGCCTTCATCAACTTGAAGCCAGTTTGGAAATCTTCTGCACTGACTCAGTTGTATGAAGAACAAGATTCGGATTTTTAACACAAATGTCAGTGAAGTCAGTCAGTCAGTCAGTCAGTTATTCTACATGGGTAAGAAATTTGACCAGTGTGTGTCACGGAAAGGATTTCCAACAGGCCACTGCAGACTTTTATCGACAGCTGCTCACCTCGTTGCCTGGCTCCATATTGAAGATCAAATGGCCGTCTGGCCGGTTAGCTGACCAGAAAGAATTAGCGACAAGAAACTCTGGCTTAGAACAGACCAACAGACGAGATCTGATTGCTCAACAAATATGTAGGAGAAAGTGGGGATGGATGAGTGTGTCTGGCATACGTTGAGGAGGCCGTTGAATAACATCACGCTCAGTACAGGCCATCACTCGAATGGAATCTTAGTTAAGAGCGATGGATAGGTGCTTGGTGTGAGGTTGATATGGAGGCAGTCGTATGTGGGAGGCGGAGGAGGAGGTGAGAGGTTATGGGCAATCTTGGACACAGCCAAGGAGGATAGCAGTAAATAGAGGAAAAAGTAGATGTGTTGCTGGAGTCGTATGTTCCACTCGGAACCGTAGAGAATAATAATAATAAATAATAATAATAATTGAATGTGACTTATCGATCAAGTTGTTTCAGGAAATTCGTAACATCTACTATCTAGAAACTTATAATATAAGCAACTTACACTATAATGCTAACCACCTTTAGTCTAACCGCTATCCTAACAATTTTTCTGTGTTGGAAGGATTTACAAGAATGCTCAATACTGACAATAATAAATCTCCTAGGTTGGTTATCTCTTCTTTAAGATTTCAGCTCATGTTAAATCCATGTCTTTTTGTCAATTGATTCCTTTACACTGTAACTGGACAGACATGTGAAGTTCAATCTAAATCGCGAATTGATATGAAACAGAGTGAGTGTGAAACAAATTCCGGTGTCAATCAACACCCCGAAATCTAATCTTATGTTCACTAATGATTGACTGCAGAGAGGAGTCACCTAAAGGTTTTAAACAGAAGTTGCGAACAATGGACTCTATCAAGCTGGAAGTGTAGACAAATATTTGCAGATAACACTGATTGGCTTTGGCGTTATATATAGCAAATGTTAGAATTGATGACCTATTGGATTCTTTCCCAAGTGGCTGAATGGCCTTGTTAGCTGAAAGCCATGCATTCGATCCGTAATGAGATGACGGGTACCCAACTACTGGACACTGGCAAACTTGAATGAAACAGCTTCCCAGTCCGGGATGAAACTTCACTTGAAATTATTCGAAGAGGTCTCTACAAACTGGTGGACTTCGATGTTCTACGTAATTGACTTACTATACCGATTTAGTCCGGTTATGCTAGAGCACGTAGATGATACTATAATTTTTGTCGCGAATGGTAACAGAATACAGAATCTGCTGAATACCTTGCAAGTCACTGCGGTCAAATGTAAGGTGATACTGTTAGGATGATATCAGGTTATCCATGAAATAATGCGTCAACTGTTCCCTTCTATCCTACTTTATGACTGTGAGATATGGACGTTATAGGTGGAATATATTGAAGAGATTACAAGCTTTTGAGGTTCGCAACAGGGTGTTTGGCAAGTAGCCAATGTTAATCTATGGAAAATTGTCAGGGGTGATCAGACGAAACCATGGTGCAGCAGTCAAGATACTAAGAATACATAACTGGTAATACTTGGTAGTTGTTCACACTATTCCAGATGTAGTTAACCTTTGACATCTTCCCTCCAACACTTCTTTATGAAGTTTGGTTCCACCACACTTCTTTTCTTACTCTTCTGCATTTATTATTATGACTGTTCCCTTGGGCTCCTAGTGGAACCATAGGGCTTCAACCGCACGTCTCCACTTGCCACTTCTGTCTTCTGATGTGCTCTTCACCTGCATCCATGTTAGTCCATACTGTTTCATCACCTCTTCACACAATCTCCTCCATGTCACCCTTGCACTGACGTCCCAGTCGCCAATTCCCTTTCGGCTTGGTTCCGCTTGAGCAATGACCTGACGCTCGCGCGATGTCACCCATCGGTGGCCTCCTCAGCGAGCGAGTGTCCAATGTGTCGTCTCCACTTTCTCCTGCATATTTGTTGGTTGGCGATTGGTTCTTGTTTTGTTTGTTTGTTTGTTCCCATAGTTTCTTGTTGGTGGTGATTCTTTCCGGCCCGGCCCGGCCCGGTCATCTGATCTTCAGTATAGAGTCAGCGAAGACAGTTGCTGATAAATGTCTGAGTCAGCCTGTTGTAAATATTCTTTGTGACCCGCCCATCCGCCAAGTTTCTGATCCGTATAGAATAACTTACTGACTTGATGTTTGTTTGTATTGAAAATCCGACCGAATTTTGTTGTTGATCCTGGCTGAGTGACGAAGATTTCCAGAGTGGTTTCAGTCAGGTTGATGAATGTGTTTTTGTCGTCTTCCCGATTCTTGCTCGATTTGACATCCTTTTGCATACTTCTTCAATAATAATGTGGCATTTTAACCTGGTACACTTTTGTGTAATTTCGTAGAACCGGTGCCATATATATATTTGTTTGAATAAAGAAAGAGCGAACATATTCGCAGGTTTGATGATACCAGCTCGTTTTTTATTTCGTGGATTGATTCTCTTCAACTGCTTACACCCCAAATAGATCAATTTTATGTTACACCAGTTTCTAAACACGCTTTTTACAGTGATTTCATATTGTAGACAGAAAGTGTCAGCAACATAATTATTTCAAAGGTGATGTAAGTAGACAATTATTTAGTGTTAAAAGACAGTAACTATTTATATAGTAATTAGATAGGGGGGAGGGGGTAGAGTTCCGATTTCTCTTGGAAACAAGTATAGATTAGAGACAAAATACAAGATAGAACAACATATAAGTATAAAACTTGGGCACCGTGGTAGAGTATAACTCCATTATGGATAAGATTTTATTTTGATAAATCACACACAATGTTGTACAGTTATATTAACTGATGACGTTATATGATATGATATGATTATGAGCAATAGTTTGTGCTCGAAACACGGTCATCAGATAATATTACTGTATAACACTGTGTGTGATTTGTCCAAATAAAATCTTATCCATAATGGAGTTAGAACAACATAGTTAATTTATACATACTATTGGTGCGTCGGTGGCACAGCGGTTAAGACACTCGCCGACCATGCACATGGTCCGGGGTTCGAGCCCCGGCCGGCGCACACCTTTACGTCGCTAAGCCAGTAGTGAGACTGGTTAGGAGGAAAGGTTGGGCATGAGGCTAGCAATCCCATCCTGTAGAAAATCAACACTGCTATGGAGTCTTCAAGCCTATAGCTTGGAGCCCTATGTTCCACTGGGAACGTGAAGGAAAAAAAATGGTGGAGATTTCAGGAGAATGTTAGTGAATAGTGAAGTTAAATTACAAAATAATTGAAAAAGTTTATCTTAGTAGATTTGAAACCTTAATAGTGAGTTCAACTCAGACATTGAAAATAAAAATTAAGTGGAATGTTATGCGACAGAATGGACCACACAAGCACACGAAAAAAGCATTTACAGTTAGCAGAGTAGTAAGAGATTAGTCACACTATCTTTGGGTCAAATTATTTTGATGGCATTGGCTTCTGACAGTCGAAATCAAGAGATGAATTACGGGTGGCAGAGGCCTCCACGTGGTGACTACGGACCAGGGCAGCAGAGAGAATGAATCCGTACTAAGGTCTGCTGTAAGCATGGATGAGATTTTCGTCTAACCACTCAATTCGAATGAACTGGCCTTAGAGGACTGAAATCATCAGAACTTTGGCCAAGATAGCTGAAATTGGTTAACTTGTAACTGACAGTTACTAAATATCCATAGATGGCTTGATAACCCTGTCATGGATTGCTGAAAGTGCATTCGGCATGATGGCCAGTCAGAAGTATTGTTTGATGCAGTGGCGGGTGGATTGGAGGTCGACATCGCGTTTCCATAAAGCGAAATAGGCTGTCTCCATTGTGCGAGAATCTCTGGTTAGATGTTCCCCATTAGAGTTTGATTGCTCGGGGATGCTCATAGATTATTCTGGAAGGAATGTGAGGAGCAACGTCTCAATGGGCTGTTCTAGCGCTGTATCAGTCACTGGAGTACCTTATATAACAATATACGCTAAAGAGAAATAGAATCTAAGTAGATGTGCACAATCTACCCTGAGTATCTTATGTTGTCGACACTGGCAGCGAAATCTTCAAGCGCTTCTCATAACTTTCCTTTCTGTTTGTATATTTCGCAATGCAAACATTCTTGTTAAAATCTATTTATTTATTTATGCGTTTATTTACCGGTTCATTTAATTATTTATTTATTTTCATTGATCAGCGTTGATTATTCTGTGTTTACAAATGAATTACGCAAATCACACAAAGTCAGTCGACTAAGCGAATCTCCACTGCTGAAACAATCACAAGAACGGGGCAGTTCATTTTTCACTGACAGAAAGGAAAGTGGTTTCGATGAGATACGTTTAGGAAATTATTGTTCACCTCCATTTAAACGATCAACAACTGCGTTAGCACCAGTAACAACAACAACAACAACACCAACATCACCATCAACTACAGAGCCACCAAAAAAATCATCCATTTCATCCTCAGCTTCCACTTCATCATCGTTCTCCGTCTCATCCTCATTCTCATCATCATCGTCATCGTCGTCGTCATCATTATCAAGTCCAACGCAATTTCATAAAAAATGGAAACAAAAAACTATTAAAGTAAAAAGTACCACGCATCTTTTGAAAAAAATTCATTATTACAGAATGCGTAATACTATAACAACTATTCATGACTTAAAGTCATCATTGCCATCGTTATTGTCGCATAAAAAGCGTAGAATGTTAACTCAACCCTATCAACCATTTTTCGGAGAAAGATTTCAAGATAAAAATGCCATACGAACAATTGCAACTGGAAATTATTAAAAGAACATGGCTATTTTGATACACAAAGGAGTTTCAATCCAATCAACCGCCATTTCATATTTAGATGAAATTAAAACAAAAAGGCCGTGATTATATATATATATATATATATATTGAAGGATAAGGAAAAGAATTCGAAAACAAACTGGAGGAGAAGAAGGAGGGGAAGAAGGGGACAAAACAATATTTTGTAAACAAAAAATATTAAATCTTTTACCCTCTCAATCCCTGGGTCTAAATTTTTTCATACTTCGAAATGTTAACTGGTATACCCTGTGAAAAATGCATACAAACTATTGAAACATTGAATCTATTCATAAATACGTATACAAATATAAAAACATTCGTATGCTTTTGTACATGCAGGTATGTACACTGTGTAAAACAAGCAGTAAGTATTTCACTGGTTTCCAGTTGTGAAGTAACTTTTACAGAAAAAGTTATAAAGTTACTGATGTTTAAAAAATGGTTCGTTATCCACCTCACCCACATCTACTCCCCCCCCCCAAACCTACATGATATTTGTTTAACAAATTCATGTAATCCAAAAAAGTAATAATAAAAACACTTTTTCTAATGATTTTTTCTGCCTCTTTGTTTTCCTTAGGTAAACTTAAGCTACTGAAATCAGCGTTAGTAGTATTGCGGTAAATAACGATTAAATTGTCCAACTTTGATGTTTGAAATGATAGGTCCTGACTGGCTAGGTTCGAATCCCAGTGAGAACATTATCATCTTCACTCATTGGGAATGCAAATACATCAAGATGACTGACGAGTCCTAAATAAGACTACACTGTCATCCTGGATTTCACAGCTATTCACTACGAAGGGAAATTACTTCACGTTAATCTTCAGAAATCACTATGACATGCGTACTTGCAGTCGGCATATCAACAAAGACTGAGCATCCCAGTACGATATAAACTAGTTATCTTAATATGTAAAACTAATGTGTAGATAAACACGGACTAGTAGTATCCAATAGCCAGATGGCCAGCTGGCCAGAAAGAAAAAGCAACAAGGAAATCTGCAGAGGAACCAAAAGGCAAGAACCTTTAACTCATTAAATATGTAGAAGAAAATGGTGATAGGGTGGACACACACTGAAAGGACCGTTGAATGACACTGAGCGCTAGGTCAGGCTGTCTAGTGGAACGCGAATAGGAGCCAGCTAAATAGAACTACAGAGAACAGGGCAAAAAGGGAGTTGTGATGTTGAAGGCTTATGTTTCACTCAGAACACCAGGGTTTAGTAATAATAATAACAGCCACAAATAGTAGTTAAAGGCTCACTAAATTTAGTTCTGAATGATGTATGTACAGTATGAATTTGACTATTTAATTTCCCACGCATATCAGGAAAATGTAACCGCATGAAAGGCAATGAAGGGTGAAGATTTCGACTTTCATTTGTTCCCTTGTGATAATTAGGACTCATTGATATCATGTGAACATAATCCAGGTCAACATTCCTTTGTCAAGTCTATCGACTTCTACCATTACACTTTCAATAACTAACTGTACTGATGTATCTAAAATAATCTTAGTTCTACAGCTCTGGCTTTTACACAATTAAGATTATATTGATTATTCTTTAATATATATAAGTTTATAAATAAAAATTCAAATATAAACCAATCATGGTGTTTTGTCTATAGGATAATACGATGGTGAATATAAATCGTCCAATTAGTCATAATAGTGGTAATGATAATATTAATAATAGTAATAGTGATAATAATAATAATAATAACGGTCTGATCAATAATAAGGATGAAAAAATGTGAGGCAATCTGTGATAACACGAATAATGAAAAACAGTATGATTGAATAAACAATTGTTCAGGTGGAAGTAGTCGATAAAGGTTAGTAAAAACAAATGAACCGATTAAGTAATACTAGATTTGTAAGGGAAGTAAATGAGACACGTTTTTAATGAAGATATGATAAGATTAAGGGATGATAAGAAAGGGGTTGAAAATATAAACAAGGGATGGTGTAGAAGTCATTAGTTAGTTATGTCTTAATAGGCCAATATGGGAGGGATAATGGTTGTACGAACTTTTTTGAATGCATAGTTTAGGTTTAATAGTTTAAATGCCTATCGCCTGCCTTAGCTGCGTGCAGTAGACGAATACGAAGTCTATTTGAAATATTCGGTGGGGTACGATGAATTACCTTGAAAGCTCTCGTTTTCTGCACTACATGACCACTGTCAATTATATATGACAAAATTGAGCTACGGATTGTTTTTGTCTGTCCTTTGCCAAACCACGATGGGAGATGTTCATTAACACGTTGGCTGAGTAAGCTGTCTAGTAGTAGAGTGTCAAGCATAACTGTCACTGCAGTTGCAGTTGAACTGATAAATGCAGATAGATGTTGCACAACTATCTAGCTTATCCTTCGTTTGCGTCCCAATCATTCGTCGGCTAGAGAATGACAGACATAGGTATGCTACGTAAAACGTTCTTCGTATACTCCTGGAAAGTCTCTGGAACAAAATCTCATTTGATACATTTTCAACCCCTCTTTTATCATCCCTTAATCTTATCACATCTTCATTAAAAACGTGTCTCATTTACTTCCCTTACAAATCTGGTATTACTTAATCGGTTCATTTGTTTTTACTAGCCTTTATCGACTACTTCCACCTGAACAATTGTTTATTCAATCATACTGTTTTTCATTATTCGTGTTATCACAGATTGCCTCACATTTTTTCATCCTTATTATTGATCAGACCGTTATTATTATTATACAATTGTTGGATGGTGGCTAGCAGTGGAATCCAGGATGCGCATTTCGTCCTATTTGGGACTCGTCAGCTGGATGTACCTGCATTTCTCAGTGAGTGATGATGTTCCCACCGAGGCTCGAACCCAGTACCCATAGTTTCAAACGCCAAAGCGTTATCCACTAGACCACTTGGGCCACGAGAGCCACCTCTTGTGCGACGGGTCATATTAATTATTGAATTGAGACCGAGCACTTCGGTCCAATCAATCGACGGGAAAATCAAAAATTCAATTCAATCGTTATTATTATTATCACTATTACTATTATTAGTATTATCATTACTAGTATTATGACTAATTGGACGATTTATATTCACCATCGTATTATCCTATAGACAAAATACCATGATTATTCATTCGTTACTACAACTGCATAATGTTGCGTCTATCTACTTACTGATAAGTACATCATACTACTATTACTCTTATTTGTCACTTGGATTTGAGTGGAGAATAGGCCTTTAAAGGCCCTCTACTATAGTGTGCAATTGTCCATAAACTTTCATTTCCCTTCCATGCAGTCTCCTCCATATCACCTTGTGTACTCACTATCAACGCATCGTTTCGCATTCACTTCCTAATAGAGGGCCAGTCTAGTGTGATATCATCTCCAGTTGTCTTCTTAGAGTATGCGCCCAATACATCTCGATATCCTTCATTCTCCTTTCTGACACGCCTACTGGCCTTTGGTATTCAGTGAAGGAATCTGTTAATGGAAGTCTATAGCAGCCTGTCGGAAATGTTTCTGGGAACAAGCTTTATCAGTCCCTGAACTATACATAAATTACAGACTGACTTTTGCGCTGAGTGTTATAGATTTCCACATCGATTTCACAGGAATGAAGGCTTAGCTGAAATCGAATGAGTATTTAACATGTCCTGATAACGGCAGGAGATTTTTCATTAAGATAGAAACATTGTGTAATGTAGATATCAGGAGATGCACTAATCAAGACAACAGTCAAACAGTCATATACAGATAAGATAGTTGGATTGTGAAAGGTTGATGAAGAAATCATCGAGCTTTTGATGGCATACAAGTTAGGATTGCCTTATAGCAAAACATGAATCCACCACACATAACACACACACACATTACACAACAAAATTAAATCTCTAGAGCTCAGAAGTTTAACACATAAGTAAATATTACTGCTTTTAACAACCTTCTACAGATCTTTACCAATAGCAGTGGAACAAGCACGATTCCGGAAAGACAAATTATGTGGTGCTGATATAATTACAATTCTACGTATCATCATTAAGCTGAGCATATAATGGAAGTCAAACATCTCTCTACCTTAACTTCATCAACTTCTAAAAGGCCTTCGGTAGACAGCGCTGACCGAGAAGTAATTTGGAAAATGCATCACCACTACAGCGTGCAGTGGCCAAGTCATTATCAACCTTATTCAACCACTACATGACAATAACACGTGTCAGGAGATCCACAATAGAAAACTCAGTGAAACCTGGCTTTGAAGTGAATACATCAATAAGACAAGCTATCTGCCTGCCTGCCTGCCTCTTATCACCTACGATGATATTCTTTTCTAATTGTGATGCATTAGACTAAACGTCAGACTCTGAGGAGTCAGGAGGCAGGAATATGCTAGACCACCGATAAGAAGCCTCCAGAAGATCTGGATTTTGGCCGTGAATGCTTTACGTCATCTAATGTCACACAAACTAGAAGTCCTGCAGGCAGGCGAAAATCAGCAAATCGGCTGAAGAGGCAGCGAAGACCGGTGGACTTCAGGTGAACGTAGAGAAGACAGAGGTGATGAGGATAACTAACCCACCACAGCAACAACAACAACAACGAGCACCAATCATTATCAGCCGGAGAGATTTCACAGAGGTGGCTTCCTTTACTTATCTAGGAAGCACCGTTTCAACCACAGGTAGACGGAACAGATGAAGATGTCAAAACCAACCAGCCAGTCAGAATCAGAAAGGCAAGATACGCCTTCGTCAACCTGAAACCAGTTTGGAAATCTTCTTCACTGACTTAGCCACATGCAGGACAAGATTCGGATGTTCAACACAAATGTCAGTGAAGTCAGTCAGTCAGTCAGTTATTCTACATGGGTAAGAAATTTGACCAGTGTGTGTCACGGAAAGGATTTCCAACAGGCCACTGCAGACTTTTATCGACAGCTGTTCACTTCGTTGCCTGGCTCCATATTAAAGATCAAATGGCCATCTGTATGGCTAGATGGCGAGAAATAATTAGCGACAAGAAACTCTGGCTTAGAACAGACCAACAGGCGAGATCCAGTTGCTCAACAAATATGTAGGAGAAACTGGAGACGGGAATGTCACATACTGAGGAGGCCCTTGAATGACATCGCGCGATATTCAGGCCATCGCTCGAGTGGGTGGTTAGTGCAAGGTTGATATGGAGGAGGTGGTGGTGTATAGGTGGGAAGAGTAGATGAGAGAGTATGACCAACAGTGGACACAGCTGAAGAGAAAGGCGACAAATCGAACAAACTGGAGATGTGTTACTGAAGTCCTATTTACCACTGGGAACCCAATGGAGTAATAATAATAATATTTATTAGTATTTAAGCTTTTTTTTTCCTCTATTACCTAAACATTTTCCGACGTCTATTCTCATTGACATGAGTTAAGATGAGTTGAAGTTCAAATATTGATCTGAATGTATGAGTTTCCTGTAAGAAATTAACGTCTGATAACTCATCTTTTATCATTTTTATAATTCAGTCGAAAATTGTAAGCTCTACGTGTCTCATTACTTTTCAACTCATAAACTAATTGAATTGAATCCACTGTTGAGTTAATCAATTTCAAAAAAAAATCTATGTATATGAGCAGTTTTTTTTTAAAGATACCGTCAATGTTTCATCCATACATCACCAACCTTAGGTTGAGAGAGTGGGGTTGAACTTGTTAAAACAGATCCCTTTGACAAGTATATGCGCTTAAAAAGACATTAGAAGGCTTGGATTTCTCAAGTAATTTATTTGTGTCTCACGAGATACGAACTCAAAGATATATACAGACAAACACTAACAACCTGAAAGAAGAGACAACTGAGTCAGGACTTTAGGAGAACACAGAGGAGACAGAGGTGATGAAGATACTTCTAACCACCACCATCACCACCACCACCACCAACAACAACAACAACAACGACAACAATAGACACAAAATAATTGAGCAAAGAAGAATATACTTTGCGATAAATTCCTCTTCTGGCTCTACAGTTACATAGTCGTTTATATACACAGAATATTCTAGAATGATAGTCAATAACAATATTAGTGTTTATTAAATAATATCGATTTGTTAAGTACGATCACAATGGAATTACCACAGTTCATTAAAGATGCCTAAATTATAATAATAATATTAATAAAGATATAATAGCGAATATAATATCAACAAAAATTAGGGAAATTCCACAAAAATTCATAATCATTCAAACCTAGATGGCCAAGGTAATGATAATGTCTGAACCAACTAACTTCTTTTGGATGCATAAATTAGGCTTGTTAATAAAGATCCCAACAGTCAGCCTCAGCAATATTTATTAGTCGAACTCTTAAGGCAAGAGTGAGATTCGCTGGTATGCGGCAAATGACCCTGAAAGCATGGTTAACGTCAACCTTGTGTTCTGTCTCCACAAGATGAGATAGAATAGCGCTGCGAATAGATTTTGTTTGTCCTTTGCTTAACCAACGACGCAGGGTGGTGTTCGGAAATTCGACGATAAACATGCCTAATTATACGGCCTATGCAGCTAACTGGCTTACTCCACGGGAGCAGTGAAATTGGTAGATACACATGGAAGAGACGAAATTAGGCAGTTTGTCTTTTATTTCCGAATGCAAACGAGGAGTCTGTGGTTTTGAAGACAAAGGGTAGTTCGGCAGCATGGGATGCTCTTTTTACCGCCTCATTTCTGAGGCGCTGTGTTAATATCTTCTCGCTGATGTTGTCCTCAAGGAACTGCATCTGTAAGAATAAGGCCTTTATTAGAACTGTTGGTAACTTGGCCTGGTTTGGTTTCAGATTCAAATTCTTATCAGTAAACTTTTCAGGATAACCATTTTAACTCAGCAACCGTTTAATATTGTTAAGTTCCTCATCAAGACATTCGTCCGAGCAAATCTCTCTTGCTCTGTGGAACATGCACTTTATCAGATTGCGTCTGTATTAAAAGCGTACAAAACTTAGAAAATGTGTATAGTGACCCATTGATGTAGGTTTTCTATATACCCTTCTTCTTGTTATTGTACCATCCTCTTTTCTGGTCATAAGGACGTCTAGAAATGAAATACCAGAGCCTTTTTCTTTCTCAATAGTAAAATTTACTGCAGGATGAACCTCGTTAAATTTGTCCAGACAGGATGCGCTTTGCTTCCTTCTCATTTTTCATAATCAAAAATGTATCATCCATGTAACGAGAACAGAATAACATCCTTTAGGGGCCCATTTTCTAGTTTCGCAACAACATAAGACACCATTAATCATCAGTGACAGATTTCCAAAGGCAGTCACCTCTTTCACCGATCAGGTTATGCAACAGCGACGCAACCACACGTGATACAGGTGAGTATGCCAAAGTAGACGTCCGTTACATTGAAATCAATCTACATCGCTCAGCATAAGGTACACCATCCAAAATTTTCAACAAACATATATGATTCAGAGACTTGTAACACACAAGTACACACGCACACACTGGTCAATATAAGCATTTCAATCAGTTTATTACAGACTTCCCATCAACCGACACTTTCACTTGGTACTAAAGATCAGATAGTCGACCAGTAAGGATAAACTACAAGAAGTTATTGTGACAGAGAATCAATCAACACAACCTCATGACGAAATAAATATTCGGAAGTACTTATACGTCACTCGATAGGCCTCCTGATGGGACTCAGATTGAGAAACACCAAGTAGAGAGAGAATGAATCCAAAGATGACTTGCACAAGCAACAATAGTTTCTCGATGATTAGACAGCTATCGAACATAGCTCAATAAAGATGGACTGCTGAAGCCTCGTGCCGACAAAAAAATAGAATTCAATTAAATAATTAATATGACCCGTTGCACAAGAGGTGGCCAGCTCTCGTGGCCCAAGTGATGGTATAGTGGATAGCACTTTGGCGTTTGAGACTATGGCCACTGGGTTCGAGCCTCGGTGGGAACATCATCACTCACTGAGAAATACAAGTACATCCACCTGGGAGACAAGTCCCAAATAGGACGAAATGTGCGTTATCCTTGATTCCATCACTGCTAGTCACCATCTACCAGTTAAATACTAATTCAATGCCCAGACATGGTCGAAGCATCTGCACAAGAAGCAGCCAACAGACATGTCAACCTGAGAGTGAGAACTTCGGTCCAATCAATCAATCAATCGACGGGAAAATCTAAAAATTCAATTAAATCGATAACAACAATCATATTTTTTTCCAACAAATATCTTGTTTATTTTTGTTTTTAATGTTTATGTTCAGTTTTTTTTTGTTTTGATGTTTTGCTTTTCAATTTTTCACCTGAACTTTGAACAAAATGTACACAGAATAATTTTTGTTTGTTTTGTGTGTGTCTCATGTCAATCTAGTGACTTTAATTAACACTAGTCATGATTTTTTGACATGATAAAAATGATAGAGGAAGAAATTGTCAATTGTCAAGTTTTTTTTGTTTTACTTGATTGCCTTTTCATGCATTCTTTTAATGCTTACATTTTTTTTTGTTCTTGATGCGATGATTTCATTTAAAAGGCGATCAGTACTTCGAGTTAATAATTTTAATTGATCGATATTTGGTTTACACAATTCCGTGGTATTGGATGTTTTCGCCTGTTGTTTTTTCTGTCTATCCAATAAGGATAATTCTACAAATGGAATAATTAGTGGCAGTGTTGTTGAACTAAAATAGTGGGTTCGTTTACGATGAAGATTTACTTCACATGTTCTAAATAAACAAACAAAACGAATGAAAGAAAGAAATACATTAAAGAAGTATATATATATATATATATATATATATATATATATATAATATTATTATTGTTCCCTTGGGTTCCTAGTGGAACCATAGGGCTTCAACCGCACGTCTCCACATGCCACTTCTGTCTTCCTTCTGCTGTACTTTTCACCTGCATCCATGTTAGTTATTCCATACTGTTTCATCACCTCTTCACACAATCTCCTCCATGTCACCCTTGCACTGACGTCCCACTCGCCGTTCCACTCGAGCAATGGCCTGACGCTCGAGCGATGTTAGCGAGTGTCCAATGTGTCGTCTCCACTTTCTCCTGCATATTTGTTGGTTGGCGACTGGTTCTTGTTTTGTTTGTTTGTTCCCATAGTTTCTTGTTGGTGGTGATTCTTTCCGGCCCGGCCCGGCCCGGTCATCTGATCTTCAGTATAGAGTCAGCGAAGACAGTTGCTGATAAATGTCTGAGTTAGCCTGTTGTAAATACTCTTTGTGACCCACCCGCTAAGTTTCTGACTGTCTTGACGTTTGTTTGTATTGAAAATCCGACCAAATTTTATTGTTGATCCTGGCTGAGTGACGAAGATTTCCAGAGTGATTTCAGTCTGTTGATGAATGTGTTTTTGTCGTCTTCTCGATTCTTGCTCGATTTGACATCCTTGTCAAATAACAATAATAATTTGTTTTATTCCATAACAGTACTTGTCATACAGAAAGGAATTCTCAGCATTTTACTACAGTATTGCATCCAGTTAGTACATTAACAATAAAGAAATAAAATTCTACATAGATAAAGGTAATCTCAGTTCATTATGACAACATATTGGCATGTCGGCAGCAAAGCCAAAATTGAACAGAGTGTTTGAAGGTGCTAGAAAATTAAGTGTTAGCATATTTTCCGGAGTTAGCAGAAGAAAGAAACAAATCTGTACATAACAGAAAAAAGAGAGAGAAAAGGAAAAGAAAGAAAGAAAACGTTGTACCTGTAAATGATATGAGTTGGAAAGACGAGATCCAGTTGTTCTACTGACTGTTTAATAAGTTAGCTGTAGGTATCACGCCTAATGCTTTCTTCTTTATCGCACAGAACACGAGCTAAGTAGGGTATGGTTGAATTTTTGTACTTACTAGTACGAGCGTATAGTTTCCTATATAGGCTTGTGGTTTTGCCTGAAGAGATAGATACAAGGGGGGTTAGAGTTGTGAATGAAGAGCGTGGTGGTGTGAGTTAGATAAATAGAATGGATTTAGCCCATTTTTTCACATGAGTCCATGTGGCTGTAAACAAGAATATTAACAAGCTGGTTAAGTGGCACGTAGCTTACCCTAATGACAACCTTTAACATCCTGCGTAATCAGGTATAGTCTTTCTTCAGTAGCCAGCCCTGGAAAAACTAAGGGGGAGCAATAGAGAATAATAGGCAGAAAGCGAGAGTTACCGAATTGTAGGAGTAAGGGTTGGGTTATTCCAGAATGTCTTAACTTCTTGATGTAGAAGGTGAGACGGAATATTTTCTTAGAAATCATCAAGATATGAGACGACCAGGAGAGATCAGCAGATAGAATGACGCCTAGGTATTTAATTTCTGACTTGGTTTCTATTTCAGTGCCATCTATGTTGCACACCTCGTGAGCACTAACCAGTTTGTTTAGGTCAGATTTATGCCTAAAGGTAAAATTTACTATTTGGTATTTGGAGGGGTTTAAGGTGAGACCATTTTCCTTGGATCATTGGCTGATTTCTAATAAAAAGCCGTTCAGTTAAGTGTAGTCACTTTGACAGTTGACAGGCAAAGATACAGTCAGGTCGTCAGCATATTTGAGAAAATTAATGTCATTTGAAGATGGTAAGTCATTTGGAAAGAAAGAAAGAAAAGAGAAATGGGGAGAGTACAGCACCTTTGGGGGGACACCAGCTCCAGTGAACACAGCAGAGGAGGATTTACCTTTGTATACAGTATACTGCATTCAGTTAGAGAAGTATGAATGCAACCAGCTAGTGACGCAGGACTCAGTTTATGTCATCGAGAGCTTATTTAGCAAGAGACATTTAGGTGCACAGTCGAAAGCAGAAGTGAAGTCGAGAAACGTGCAGCGGACGTATTTGGCACGTTTATTTAATGTTGAGACGATACTGTAGTTTAAGACGGCTGCTGTGTCTAAAGTGCTCCTACCCTGTCTATAGGCAAATTGTTTAGGGTCTTCAAAGCTCTTAAGGGAAGGTTCAAGTTTAAGAAGTACGCTGAACACATTGAATATTGATTACTGAACTTCAATATGACAAAAATTTCCCCTCCAGGTATTTGGGAGAGTCTTTATTTTTCATTATCTTCATTTAGAAAAACAGTCTCATCTGCTTACTATAAGCTGATTAGAATGTACCCTGATAATGTGTTCCAATCCCTGCTTAACACAATAAATCCGTGATAAAATTAAACAATAATAAGAACAGTCGGTATTTACAACGTCAGTCATCACTGTATGTCACAAGTTCAGATGACAACTTACTTTAAACTCTTAAACAGTTGCTTGAGTTCAAATAGAGTACCCTGAATACAGAGATAGCCTTTTTCGACACTTCTTTCATTGCTACAGCACGTCTAGGTTAACGGAGTCGAGTTTCTCCTTTGGGTCAATAATTATAATGAGTTTCAGAAGCAGGTAAGTACTCTTATGCTTCAAAATCTCTTGAAAAAATAAAGATTTTTGGTCAGTATACCCATCTTCCTTGCCTAAAGCCTTCTTGGTTTTCTCAAGTTCAGTTCTCCCAGTTATCATTTAATCTAGGCATGATAACTGAACCTCATCACTCAAGCTAATCCACCTATGGTTATCGTAGGAAAATTTGTCGCTCTTTTACTATAAATTGGGATAATTCGGTTTTTGTATTTCCCAATGAATGAAAGACAAAACGATATTCTTTTTACTGAAGTTTGGCTATTTAATGCTAATAACTTTATCAAAGTGGTATTATTAAACCGGAATTTACAAAATCCACTCTGCATATACATAACACAGTTTTAAGAGGTCAGGAAATAGACAAGTTAGGTCAAGTTACAAGGACATATTGAAAGTCAAAATAAAAATGAAGATCGCTCAAACCAAATATCAAAGGTAATAGTACATCTGTTATGATAGCAAAACAAAGTTTACTAACTTGATCATCGTTCGTCAATAAGCGGTCATTTTTCGTTGTCAAGTTGGCCAGTCGATAAAGATAACAAAATCAAGTGTAGATTGTTGGATTTGATGAGTGTGTAAAATTATAAGAGCAGCGTGTGTTTTTGCATAGTGGACGTGCTTATCACATTCGTGTTGATTTTGTCACTTCATGGGGTAGGGAGGTGTTGTAACCATGTTAAATTCTGTTTTATCCATCATTCCTATTAAGACAATTTGGATTCCACTTGCTATTTGGTTTAGTGATCTTTATTGTTATTTTGACTTTCAATATGTCCTTGTAACTTGACCTAACTTGTCTATTTTCTTACCTCTTAACTCTCTGTTATGTATATGCTGAGTGGATTTTGTAAATTCCGGTTTAATATTACTACTTTGATAAAGCTATTAGCAGCAACATTAAATAGCGAAACATCAGTAAAAACGACGACAATATCGTTTTGTTTTTCATTCATTCACTGGGAAATACAAAAAAGCCTCTTTATTATAATGAATATCATATACCCAATGCCCAAATTTTTTCAAACTGTTAAAAGTGAACTTGGTTTGCACATATATAATGGGATAACTAGTGATAAGTCATTTTATTAGGTCCTGCCGCTTGGCTTCATTTCAAATTGCGGACAATGCTTAAGACATTAGATACACTTTGACAGACAATATCATTATCCATATTTCAGGTAGGTGTTGGATTCTGGCAAAGATGAGTATCTCAGTAGGCCAGCTGAATTCCTAATTTCAACTGTTCCCTTTAACGCTTCAATCTCCTATCCTAAGGGCTAATTAAGGTATCATTTTTCTTGCAGACTTTCCAGCTTATCAACTGTGTTTTACATCCGGCATCCTCGATAAGCACGCATAATTAATTGTCTAGTGTTATCCTTCGCTAAAATATCTTTTCCATCACTTTCACCTTTGTCGCCCACCACTGTTTTCGATAGTTGTGGAGACTATCAGTTAGTGAACAGCTGGAAAGCTACTAGGAAGTACTGGACAAAGCTAGCTGTCTCGTCTTAGTTTGGGAAACCTCATCTGTGCGCACCCGCCACCTCCGGGGGTTCGAACCCAGGACCTTTAGGTTACAAGGCGAGCTCGTAAACCATTAAGTCACTGGGAACCGATCCAGTTTCCCATGAATTCTAACTTCTGCCAATTCACGACCTGGCGCGACCGGTAGGTAATGTCAGCTTATTATGAAATCTTGTAACGAATCAGTCAAACCCTCAAACTAACCGATACTTGAATTTCAGTAAGATGTTCGCTGGTGACTGGCCCTATTCAGGTAGGCAGTTACCTAGTAGGGTTTCTAGAAGGAAGTCATGTCCAGTAGGGTTCAGCAGATCGGGTGTGAGAAAAAATGCTTGCCACCACGGATGACATTGGCTAGTGGTCGCGCTATTTGGTGAATTTTCAGAAATTGGAATTCATGTATTGGTCATTGGATTGGCGAGTCTCAGTGGTTTAATAGTCTACGAGATCATTCTCCTTGTAAGCAGGAGTTCCTGAGTTCTCATTTTGGAGGAGGGTGGGCACGTATTGACGAAGAGTCCCAAACTAGGGCGAAACATCTAGGTGTCTATTACTGCCTGGTGGTTTCTCAATGGTTTTGTAACCGATGTCAACTTATAATCAGATTCTGTAATCAGTCAAATGAAATCCTCCACAAACCGATAATTGGAAATTTTCTTCACTGTCCACGTCTTTTTCTTTTTCTTATGATTCAACCGATATACAGGAACCAATCAAATCCCTACAAACCAACATTTGAATATCAATGAAGTGCTCACTAGCGACTAGCCGTATTCAGGCGAGTGGTTACCTGGGGTTCCAGTGGGAAGTCGTGACCAGTAGGGTGCAGCAGGTCGAGCATGAGGACAAATACTCGCCAAAGACGATGTCTAGGGGTTGCGCTTGTTGTGAATTGGCAGAAGTTAGAATTCATGAACTGGCTATTGGATCGGGTCCCAGTGGCTTAATGGGATACGAGTTCGCCTTGTAACCAGAAGACTCTGGGTTCGAACCCCGCAGTGTGTGTGGGTACTGCTGAAGCAGAGTCCCAAACTAGGGCGAAACAACTAGCTGTCCAGTACTCCAGTGCAGGTTTTCCAATGGTTCTCTAACTAATGTCAGCTCATGATGAAATCTTGTAACCAATCAACCAGATCCCTACGAACCCGCACTTGAATACAAGAAAATTAATTCGTCTACAGTCAAGGAGATAACAGCTGAAATGTAGGAGAAGAAACCCTCTTCTCCCCGACACATACACACGCACACACACACAGAGAAATAACAATACTCACAAATTAGGATCCGTCTGGACTGAATCAGTTTCTTCAACATTAGTTGTCATTTTAGTCTTTGGTGGAAAAATATCCATAATGCAAGTTTGATCTAAGCCTTTCAAATCTTTCTCTGCTGCATTCAACTTTTCCCGCGTTTTATTTGATACTTTATGCTTGGATAATTTAGTCTTTTTCACATCGTCACTGTCAACAGCAGCATCAACGGTGTCATGACGACTGCCACCAACAACTCTACCATCATCATCATCACCATCGTCTTTATCCTCCTCCTCCTCCTCCTCATCGTCGTCATCTTCGTCATCAACATGAACATCTTTGACACTGTTATATAGATAATCATGACTGACTTTTTTTATATACTGTGTCATACTTTGTTGTTGACGTATACGAAAATCTTTAGCGAAACGTTTCTCTACATCACTAATATATTCAAATACACTACGGATTTTAAGCATTGTCAACTGTTGCCAGAAATGAAAATCACACAGCTCCAAGATTAGCTCAAGTAGAATTGATTCAATTGTCTTAGGATCTTCACTAGCACCACCAGCACTATTATTGTGTTCTAAACCACGTAATTCTGGTTTATCTGAAAATGATATCAATAACCTGCCATAGATTCGTCCAAGACTAACTTTCCCTTCAATAGGATTACTAGAACATTCCCAAGCATGTAAAAGATGAATCATAATAAAGGCAAGCGTATCCATTTGTACACATGACTGAGATAATGCGGTATGCTGTACAATACAACGAATTTGTTTATTTGGCCGTAAAAACAAATCCAACAATGGTGACTGAACCATACACATTGTAGAAGAACGTGAAAAATTCAATAGTTTCCTTTCTAATTCATTCAAAAATAGTCTTAACGTCATAATCTTCACGTCTAGTCCTAACTTCCCGATGATATGTTTCAATTTATTTTCATTCTGCCAATAATAAATGATCTTTATGAGAGCTACTTTCGCCTCGGCATAAGATTCGCTTAAATCATCAAATATTAAATTCCATGTTGTTTGATAACACTCCGCTTCAGTTTGATTGACTAATATTTGAATGAATACAGGAACAAATGGTGCTAACAATGGGCGAAAATTTGTAATCAATAATGGTGTGAAAAATATACGTTTTGATGGATGAAATATACTCATTTTTGTCCGTTCTTGTTGTTGTTGCTGTTGTTGGTGATGTAGTCTATCATCTGTTTTACTATCACTACTTGATATTTGACTAACACTGCTAGTACTAGGGAAATGATTACCAAGCTCTTTCATCCCACTTATACTACTCATTTGAATGCCGGCACTTGTAGTAGTATCTGTACTCTTCCTCCTACTGCTACTACTGCTAATACTTACCTCATTCACAGTTTGTTCTGGTAATTGATACAACATACTCGATGCTGTCAAATATAATATTGGTGTGGTTAAATTCTTATCTTTAGTCACTGATATAACTGGTTGCTGGGAATTTATTTTCAGCGGCAGTTTTGGATAGTCATCAACTAACAATTGACTTGTTAATAATTTATTCTTTTTATCAGCAATAGATTGTCTGACTGTTGGACACTGAAAACCTTGCTGCTGTTGTTTTAATTTACTATTTATTGTTGTAACCGGTTGTTTTGAATTTTTTAGACCAAATTTTAATGGAGGTAAATTTATCGTCATTTGTTTGGTGGCAGTTTGTGTATGTTTGTGTATGTGTGTAAATTAAAGTCGCTTCGATTAGGCAGATAGCAGAAGATCATGTGAACACATTTGTGATTGATTGGTATGCATATATATAAATATATATATTTAAAATCCTAGATAAAACAGACGCCAACCTGAAACATATGTGAACAAGTGTATAACAAGTTGATAAATTTTGTCATTCAAACAGAAAACCTAAAAGAATTGTTATTAAGGTGTACTATGAATGTGAATTTTAAATCCGATGGCACACTATACAGACAAGTGGATGGGGTTACCCATCGGGTCCCATTTTGGGCTAATTTCTTCCAAAGTTAACTAGAAAATGGTTCTTTGAACAATCCTATGAGGTAATTCTCATTTTATTGCCGATATATGGTTGATACCTTCGTAAAAAAACATAATAATAACTGAATTCAATGACGTACTATTGATATAAGTATAAAACTTTGGCACTGTGATCGTAGACTATAACTCCATTATGGATAAGATTTTATTTTGATAAATCGCACAGTGTTGTATATTCACATACACTGTAGCCAAAATTTTTCTTGTGAAACTAGAAAATGGACCCCTGAAGGATGTTATTAATGAACTCGAATTTTATTGTCGGTAAATGGATGATACATTTTTGATTATGAAAAATGAGAAGGAAGCAAAGCGCATCCTGTCTGGACAAATTTAACGAGGTTCATCCTGCAGTAAATTTTACTATTGAGAAAGAAAAAGGCTCTGGTATTTCATTTCTAGACGTCCTTATGACCAGAAAAGAGGATGGTACAATAACAAGAAGAAGGGTATATAGAAAACCTACATCAACGGGTCAGTGCACCCATTTCCTCAGTTTTGTGCCCTAGAAATACAAACGCAGTCTGATAAAGTGCATGTTCCACAGAGCAAGAGAGATTTGCTCGGACGAATGTCTTGATGAGGAACTTAACAATATTAAACGGTTGCTGAGTTAAAATGGTTATCCTGAAAAGTTTATTGATAAGAATCTGAATCTGAAACCAAACCAGGCCAAGTTACCAACAGTTCTAATAAAGGCCTTATTCTTACAGATGCAGTTCCTTGAGGACAACATCAGCGAGAAGATATTAACACAGCGCCTCAGAAATGAGGCGGTAAAAAGAGCATCCCATGCTGCGGAATTACCCTTTGTCTTCAAAACCACAGACTCCTCGTTTGCATTCGGAAATAAAAGACAAACTGCCTAATTTCGCCTCATCGATGTGTATCTAACAATTTCACTGCTCCCGTGGAGTAAGCCAGTTAGCTGCATAGGCCGTATAATTAGGCATGTTTATCGTCGAATTTCCGAACACCACCCTGCGTCGTTGGTTAAGCAAAGGACAAACAAAATCTATTCACAGCGCTATTCTATCTCATCTTGTGGAGACAGAACACAAGGTTGACGTTAACCATGCTTTCAGGGTCATTTACCGCATACCAGCGAATCTCACTCTTGCCTTAAGAGTTCGACTAATAAATATTGCTGAGGCTGACTGTTGGGATCTTTATTAACAAGCCTAATTTATGCATCCAAAAGAAGTTAGTTGGTTCAGACATTATCATTACCTTGGCCATGCAGGTTTGAATGATTATGAATTTTTGTGGAATTTCCCTAATTTTAGTTGATATTATATTCGCTGTTATATCTTTGTTAATATTATTATTATAATTTAAGCATCTTCAATGAACTGTGGTAATTCCATTGTGATCATAATTAACAAATCGATATTATTTAATAAACACTCATATTGTTATTAACTACTAATCTGGAATATTCTGTGTATATAAACATGCACATATAATTGTAGAGCCGGAAGAGGAATTTATCGAAAGGGGGATATTCTTTGTTCAATTATTTTGTGTTTTATGGGTGTCTGAATGAATATTTTTGCTATATTGAAGCTTCTAATTGTATCTCCCAATTAAACTATGCTTATGGTGGAGCGAGTCATATTGTCCGTCTCTCTGGCAACTTGATTTTTCCCATACTCGGGACCACTTACCAGTGTGGTTAAATGAAGGTGTAGTGTAAAACGTCAACAGCTCCATATAAGAACACCTGGTCGAAACCGGCCACAAATTTAGCATTAAAGAATCCTTCTCTCCATCATCTATTGGGCAACAAATATATTGCCAAAAGCATCCAGGTACCTAATACTCCAAACACCAGAGGTTATTTTGATTCGTCTAAAACAATGGATACGATGTATGCAAAAGAAACAGGTTCAGACAACCACCACTTCTGGCCTGGTAGGCCTTCAGTGGAGATTATAAATTCATGAATTTGTATTATTGTTATCTTTCCTAATTTGCCTGTCTGATATTCATTCAGTGTATTGTTGTGCTGACGCTACACGAACTGTTACCTGTTCATATTACTGATTGATTCGATGTCATTTAAACAACATTAATTTTGTTGATAATTCTAATTTCGGTTTACAGGATTTCATCATGGGCTGGCATTGGTTAGAGAACCATTGGAAAACCTGGGAGTACTGGATAGTTTGGAACTCTTCAGCAGTACGCACCCACCAGGGTTCGAAACAGCTGTCCAGTAGTCCCAGGCAGGTTTTCCAATGGTTCTCTAACCAGTGTCAGTTCATGATGAAATCCTGTTAACCAATCAACCAAATCCCTACAAACCAATACTTGAATACGCACAGTTTAATGCCTGACAGTAAGCCCTTCAATGTCAGCTGCTTCGCGTCATCTTCTGGCTTGCCTAAAACATTGTATAAATTCATATGAATATTATTAACCCTAGAAACTTCAATGCAACATCATATAAAAGCCCACTTCCTGTGATTTTGTAACTCTCATACTGTTGTACACTTTCTGGGTAAACACTGTATCCACCCAAAAATCTTGAACTCTTCTTCTTGAGTGTACTAGTCCCATTACCTAACGAATGCTCTGTCATCTTAGTCAATAATAAGTGAATAACCTTCATCATTCCTGGCATATGTTACTCCAAATTGCCATCATTTAATTCCTGTCATCTTGCGGACTTGATCTGCCCACCTTTGACGTAGATCATGGTGCTTGTAGCGTCCACGTTGTGCGTGTGTGCGTGTGTGCGTGTGTCTGTTTGAATCTTTCTCGCCTCGTCAATGACTATACAAACTCTCTCAGATGTCTATAAAACACAAAATAATCGAGCAAAGAATATCCCCCTTTCGATAAATTCCTCTTCTGGTTCTACAATTATATGTGCATGCTTATGTACCATACACAGAATATTCCAGATTAGTAGTTAACAACAATATGAGTGTTTATTAAATAATATCGATTTGTAAAGTAAGATCACAATGGAATTAGATTTAATTAAAGATGCTTGAAAACAGAGATGATGAAGATTCCTAGCCTGCATCAACAGCAACAACAACAACAGACAACAGTCAGCATAAGTGGGAAGAATCTGAAAGAAACAACCTCCTTCACCTACCTGGGAATCATCGTCTCAACTACAGGCGGAACTGACGAGGACATCAAAGCCAGAATCGGAAAAGCAAGACAAGCTTTCATTACTCTCAAATCTGTGTGGAGGTCAACAGCACTCAGAATCAAAAATAAGATCCGGATTTTCAACTCCAATGTGAAGTCAGTGCTACCCAACATACGGATCAGAGACTTGGCGCGTCATGAAGAGCACCTCAAACAGACTACAGACCTTCATTAACAGCAAGTTGTCTTCTCTCAATACTCAAGATCAGATGGCCGGCCAGAAAAGATCAGCAACAGGGATCTCTGGTAATGAGCGAACCAACCCACCAGGAACCGATTGTGAAACAAATAGGCAGTAAGAAATGGAGATGGATTGGCCATACGCTGAGATTACTGACTCTCCAGTTGGTAATCTGGATAATCGAAATCCGTTCTATCCGCTTTCGCAGATATACCTAGCACTTGTATGCACTTTTATCTCCAAATTTCGCTGGCTACTTCGACAGCCTTCCCAGTCTCGTACATTGTACGGACATTGCATGTCCTCAATCATATTCTTGCATGAATCGAGAGAAGACAATTCGGCTCACTGGCTTTCCGAAGGCAAGCTTATACCAACCTGCTGTGTCAACACTCGGCAACTCTTTAGACTCATCAGGGAAACGGGTGGGAGAAGGCAAATCATAAGTGAAACAATCACAGAGAAAAATGGCTCCATAATTAGCTCTCAGGATAGACGACTGGAACTCTGGAAAGAGCACTATGAGGAGCAGTTTAATTGGCCCACAGCCACGCTCAACCTTCCGAACATCCAACACCTCCCTGAATGGGATATAGACACAGGTCCTATGTCCCTAACTGAGGTTACTAAAGCTGTCACCAATCAAGGCAAAGCAGCGCAACCTGATGGAATGACTCCAGAAGTATTTAGGAACGGTGGAGACAGTTTACTGTCTGCGTTAATTGAGGTTCTAAGCAGCGTCTGGGAATCAGAAGAAGTCCCATCGGGTTGGTGTAAGTCACTGATTATCCCCATATACGAGAAGGAGACAAGTCTTCCTGTGATAATCACAGAGGGATTAGCTTGACTAATATAGTATCTAAAGTCCTAGGCTCAATAATCATGCGTAGACTAAGTGGTGCTCGGGAGGCACAAACGCGAGAGGGCCAGGCAGGCTTTAGACCAGGAAGAGGGTGTATTGATCATATCTTCACCCTCCGACAGATTCTAGAACATAGGAATTCCTACCGGCGTCCAACAATTATTATATTTCTTGACCTAAAGGCGGAATTCGATTCTGTCGACCGAGAGGTACTTTGGCGATGCTTGGTTGTAAAGGGGATGCCGAGAAAATATATTGCACTGATCAAGGCACTCTACTCGTACTCATACAGCCAGGTGAGGGCTTACAACGAGTTGTCATCTGAACTGGTGAAGACCAGTGGTGTCCGTCAAGGATGACTATTACCCCCTTTTTTATTCAACTTCATCATGGATGTGTTAATGGACTTAACCCTAA